GCTCCCTTCAATATATGGAATTAGCTCAAGAATCTTTTTCACTTTAGGTAGGCTTCAATATGCTCGTAGTAAAGGTCTGAAAGCTGGAGATAAAATCACCGGATAACCAACTCATTCAATGTGTCTTTTGATATCAAGGTTTGAGTTTGTAGAGTTCTAATCATATACATTATCCTTTTCTTTTGAACAGTGCTCACCCATCTATAACTTTATATTTTTTCTGTAACAAATACACAAAAAAAAAAACTACTTATTTATCAAGTAAAGTTTAATTATATTTGACAAATAATATATTTACACGTATTTATGGCTCAATAACTAAACTATACTTATAATATTGTACCAAATGTGCATTCCATTCTTTAAAAAAGAAAATGACACTTTTTTAGAACAGTCCACACGCCGGTAGAAGCAGCCACGCGCCGACAACAACTTGTCACGTGCCGGATCCTCAATTCACCTTAACTTTGAGTCGGATTGACCTATTTTCCCTTTGACCTGTCAACCTGACCAGATTTGACTTTGTTGACCATTGATCGGTTTGACTAACTCGTTTGACCTGATGGGTCGAATACATGGGTCAACTTGACTCGCTTGACTCTGTTATGGATTGGACTTGGGCTAATATATATATATAAATTTATCCAAAACTAATTAACACAAAAAATAATGTAGCCTAATGGTCCCCAAGTTAGGTTCTCAACGCATGAGACTTGGGTTTAAGTCCCTCTTAAAGCCAACAGTTGATCGTGCTAGCCTACAGCATGACACGGTACGATACGACACAAAAATATGTGGCCCACGCCGTAAGCCTCAAAAAAGGCACATGGGTTGGCATGGCATGGCATGGCACAAAAAAAAAAAAAAAATTATAAATTATAAGAATTTAGAAATTAATGAAAATAAAGATATACAATAATTTTTAATCCTAATTTCTAAGTTGTATTTTTAATTTATAATTATAACTTATAAGTAATAAAAAGTGTTCAAATTCAATTAATATTTCAATGTCTCATTATTTTATTATATTGCATAGTGGTTATATATTTTTTTTAATTAATATAAATACAAAATGTCACTAAATATAACATATAAAATATCTTTATAATAATTATCAATAATAAATCAAAATGACAATAATTTATAAATATTAAAATTAAATATTTATAAAAAGCACGTGGGCTGGCCCACGGCATAGCCCAAGGTACGGCACGATATATAGCGGGCCATGTCGTGGGCCTTCAAATTTGGTGGGTTAATACGGCACGACAAAACATGAATTTTTTGGGCCTTGGCACGACACGACCCACAGCACAATGAACTCTAAATTTTTAGGCACGGCATGGCCACCACTACCTCTAGTCTCAGCAGTCACGTTTTCTTTTAACTATAGACTATGGTACTATGAAGAAAATCCAATACAAACTTAAATTAAAATTAACGGGTTAATTATAAGCTTTAAAAGGTTAGGGTTCAAGTCCCTAGTTTCCCCTCCTTTTTTTAAATATTATTTTAAAACAAATGACATGTCGATTTGAGGATCCAAATGAAAACAACACGTTGTTTGCTTATGGTCATCTTCTGGGTTGCAATTTGGTACCCGACCTAAAAAATAACCAATTACGAACCCGAAACTTTTAAAAACCATATCTTAGCCATTTTAACTCCGTTTTTTATGATTCAAAAATCACTCTTCATAATTTTACAAGGAATTTAATATTCTAATTTATTTTGCCAGAAAACTATTCCACAAACATTAAATACGAAATTTGAGAACTGAACACTAATAATAAATAATATTCAACATATTTCATCATATTAACACTAAACATAAAAATAAAATAAAATTGAACGTAGCTCTGATCCCATTGTTAGTAAATTAAGAATAACAGATATCTTAATCCAATCTGAAGATCATATCAAAAAGTCATTGTTGCAATCACATTTTTTCTTAAATGAATGCAGTATAGTTTACCCTATAAATACCTCTTTTTTGTCGATTAAAAGCACAGACTACTGTCAATATGGACCTAACTCAAGAATCTTTTTCACCCCTAGGTACGCACCAATATGGTCGTAGTTGTAGTAAAGGTCTGAAGGTTGGAGATACAATCATTTTTTATTAGGAGCAAGAATATTTAATTGAGCTTTGTGTAATGTTGATGTTATCATGTGGTCATAAGAATATTTTTCTCTCTCTTTCCTGGCAGCAAATTAATGGATGCGATTGAGGCTTATATACAGTTCTAGTGGTGAACATCAACCAATTGCTTATCATTTTCAATGTCGGGTTGGTCCTATAACGTTAATTTAGAGAAGCTGTAGCGATCAACTATCTCTATCATTTAAAGGTATCGTTCATATTCCATGTCTTTTATCTCATCTTCACGTTTCTGGTAGTTGTGGCGATTCTTGTCCATTATAGAACAAAGAATACATATATATATATATAAATACACACTTGAATTGCGGGGAATACTTGACAAAGATGCATATGCCCCATTCTTATTGATAGTATTTCAGGTTTGGGAAGAACTATAAAGTACGTTTCAGTGAGAGAAGTTTGACCTAGATTCCAAGATTCTGGTAACTACGAACCGCATTTGTTACTAACGGTGCAGGCACTTCTAATTGTGCAATTATTTAATAGAGCGGTCTGGGTGAGGTCCATATTCATTAGTTGAAAAAGTCGAAAGTTTAGTGTAATCACCAATGACAGCTAGAAATAAAATATTCTATCCATATATAATTATATTTAATGTAACAAAATACTCTCTCTTCCCCCCTCTCTCTTTGTCTAGACTCTAGACTATTGATGTGCAATACAAATATTTCTTGGAAAACGGTTTGGGTAGAATCATAGTTCTTATTGCTTATTGAGCACTTAAATATGTCCTGCATACATTATTTAGAAAGATCTTGCAGCTGCTGCTCGTTTGATACACTGCTGGATATAGATACACAAAAAATTTGCTCCACATTACTACAACTAAAGAAACATAGAACACAAAGAAACACACTGCTAATGCTACGACTGAAGAAACTAAGAACTACATATTAATGGACCAACAGAATGCCTGCATGTATTATAGCTGGCTAATCTTAAGCTTTGTCCACTGCAATCCACATTATCGGCTGACCAATAACATCCGATCAGTCTCTTTCAGCACCTCAATTCTGAACTCCCCATCTCAAGCTACTGAAGATAAGTAAATCATCAGGTTCAAGACCTTTAGCTCGAACAAATGTAGCCATTTGCCAGTAAAAACAGGTCTTTTATGACCTTATCTCGAGTGGAGAATAAAACACCCACTGTTGGTCGGTCCAGTCCTTGACCACCACATCTTGTCCCTCAAACCTCTCAAAATGTTGCAGAGCATGTGTGGGGATGCTGTCTTGCTAAAATATCATTTTCTGATAGATGCTTAGAGAAAATTTCCTTAGCCATGAGAATAACCCAGAGAACTAACCAATACTGAAACTGCTGTATTTGTGAAGTTTGATATATTTGCGATGATGATGATGATTCTTGCATGAATCCGAATTAAATTCCACTCCATGGAGCGGGAGCTTTCATTACGTCCTGTCATTTTGAGTCTAAGATTCACAAATTTTTATACGATTTTTTTTTTTTTTTTCTCATTGCCATCTATGGATTCTTATTGTCAAGACTGACTTTTGTCTAAGGCCACGAAATTCGTGTCTTACTTTACCATTAATCAAATATATTCTATTTGGATTTGATCGTTCATATAACATGTCAGCCAATGCATTAACATTCTTTTTAATTTCTTTTGTCTAAGGTTCGGTTGTTACACTCTTAAGCATACTATTATTAGTATTTTAAACAGTAAAATTGCCCTAAATATTTTTTTAGAAATTGTAAAAACACCCCAGCAACCCTCCGGCGGTGGTGGCCGACTGTCCGTATTTAATGGGTGGATTAGGAGTGTTTTTGTTAATTTTCGAATCCTATATCGTAATACCCGTTCAATTTAACTTTTTTTAAAATATTATTCTAAAAAATATCAGAATAATGAATCAAACAGATCCAAAAATTTCCCAAATGGGTCCTTCAATCAGAAACACCACAGCCTTTTGATTGGAAATTTAGTGTCGAAAGTTTGATGAAAACCTGTTGGTCATTTTTCAATTGATGATGGTGTTGTACAGATAAACGAGTAGCTTAAAGTTAAACAGTGAAATGGATATAAATGATTTTGAAAAAGGACACATAGTCCATTACCTTGAAAAGGACACTTACTTCAACATGGATACTCTCAAATAGGTCCATTAAACAGTGAGGGTTGTTAAACAGTGTTTAAGTCTTCAGTTGTAGCACTAGCACTGTGTTTTTTTGTATTTGAATTAACAATTTCTATGTGTTATCTGTATTATGTTAATGGAACTACATTTGTGTTCTGAAGTTTTATTCTCTGACAAGCTTCTTTGTTAATGGAACTACATTTGTGCTATGAAGTTTTCGTGACAAAAGATTCAACAGTTCAACTCCACTAAGAAGATACCAAAAGCAACTGATGCATTGAAAGAAATCAATGGCTAAGCAACTAATCAGAGGGCCAATTAAACGATGAAATTGAGTTGTATATGCAATCTACCTGTGCGCAAAAACTCCTAAATTATAGCTTTTTATGTATCTATTTTACCCTTTTTCTTTACCCAGCAGTGTATCAAATGACCAGTAGCTGCAATATTCTTGCTAAATAATGTATGCAAGACATAATTAAGTACTCAGTAAGCAATATTAAGAACTATGGTTCTACCAAACTGTTTTGCAAGAAATATTTTATTGCCGTCAACAGTCTAGACAAAGAGAGAGGGGGGAAGAGAGTAGTATGTTACATTTACATACAAACAATTTGCTTTCCAACTCACTCTTAAGACATGAAACTAATTTGCTGATATACAGCTTTGGTAAATATTAACTCATTCAGGCTACAAAAGGGTGTATAACTCAACAAAGGAAAGAAAATAAATCTCTATAAGTCATCAACCAACTCGTCCTCCAACACAAATAGAACATCCAGAGATACGATCTGCAACCAGAGCATTGTGACCGAAAGGTGAAAATCTCAATTGCTTATCCGCGAAACAACATAACCAACAGTCCAAATCGCAATTCTGATGTAATGGAACATTTTCCACCAACCACCCTTGCAATTGATATTTTAATTCCATTGTTCTTGGCACCTTAGCATATCACCGAAAGCATACAGGTAAAAGAAGGCTGAACCAAATTGATTAGTGTTGATGAATATTTGCCAAATGACCTCATCAACTGACATTTTAAGAATGTAAATGCAAGTCTTTTTGTCTACTTTGGTTAGTCTTAGCCCATCCACAACTTCAATACTCTGTCCTTACCACCAGAGACAACTTTCTCATCATCTGGACTCCAATCAACAGCAAAGACCTTTTGGAAACAAATAATGAATCATTTATCAGCATGATGGCTGGAAAAGAATGCATTTTGTTCACCAATATGTCCATATAGGGGAAGATATTTAACCAAACCTAAAATCCATAAATTCAACAGCACAAAAATGGTTTTTATGTTTTTTTTCCATGGGAAAGAAATAAAAATTTTCCATCAGCAGAAGGATAGCACTTTGTCAAATTAGGTTCTGCACAAAAAGATAAACACAATCTCACTCATTATTTGGAAACAATTGTGTAAAATTACCTTCAGTGTGGAATCTTTTCTACCACTTAAGAGAAGCCTACTATCTGCAGACCAGCTGTACAGCACCAAGCAACATAACCATTAACAGCAGGAATAAATTTATGGATATACAAAACCATGGAATACTACCAACCTGATCTGATAAACAGGCCCAACATGGCCCCGAAAAGCAGCAACGAATTTCCCTGTTGTACCATTCCATAACTTGACAGACTTATCAAATGAGGCACTTGCCACCCATTGCCCATCAGGTGAAAAGTAAACATGGTTCACAAGCTGTAACAGATGAACACACAATATAGAAGCCCCATATAAACAGTTAAAAAGCTCTAATTTTTTAACAAAGAAAGCAACTGCTACTAAATATGTCAAGTTTCCTTCCTGTTTAAAACAGAGGTCCTAGTTATTACACCTTTGACTAAATATGTAGGCAAGAAGAAAATAGTTTCAAAAGGCTGGCAGCAAAGAAGAGCTATCGGCTATCACCAACTTTTCTTGATGGATGTTACCAAGATCTAGGAAAGTTTGGAAAAGGAAAGTTCAAAGCCGGATAAATACGTCAGCAGATCTCTTATATCTAGTCATAACCATTCTACTACTGGAGAAAAAGGTGATAGATAAAGGAACTGTACATTCCACCCCCAACAAATAATAGATTATAAACTATAATGCAACCACAAACAGGAAGTAATAATATATAATTGCACCTGTTGATGACCTGTCATGCGAGTTTTGGGGTGTTTGCTGACAGCAGGTTCCCAGAGGAACATGGTAAAATCATCAGATCCTGAAACCAATCTTTCAGGAGCATTGCCTTTCATTTTGTTATACCTCTCCAGTGCAACCTTTGTATATTGATACAATAAAATGTATTTAGTTCCAATAGCAAAATTCAACGATCAGATAAACTGAACATAGAAATTAGTATGATACTAAAGTAAATGCATGCTGTTATAAATGAGCATGTAAACAACCCATAAGTTTATACTAGTGCACAGACAAAGGTTGAGTCAATTAACTCAACAAACATGGCATGCACATGAAAAAAGAAAGATAACAGAAATGCCAAGCACAAGGTATAGAAGAGAACAAAATTGCAAAACAAGAAAGTTACCTTCTTCATTTCCTCATGAGAGGAATACTGTTTGCCCATATGATCAAAAGCTCCAGTCCGAAGAACATATTCGGTGCTCAATGCAAGGGAATTAACCCAATGTCCATGACCCTAAATGAGTGTCATATAAAGAGAGATGAAGGTCAATAGAGAGGTCAAAGGCAAAAGAAATTTTAAGCCTGAATAATTTATATTAAAATTAAGAACCATAAAATCACAGTTCATTCATTAATTCAAATGATATTTTGCACATAGTCTGAGGTACATTTGTCTGGTTAGAATTTTTGAATACATAATACCAAGTGCATACATGATAAAAACTTAAGAAGCAAATTTTATGGTCTCAAAATTTTATAAATAAAAAGAGAGAGAGAGAGAGAGAGAGAGACAGAAGAGAGATGGAAGAATACTTGACTCCTCAACAGTTGGTTATCTAAAGAGAAAATTAGGTAGTAAAGTTACATAAGAGACAGAAAGCTCTATCCAGCTTAAGTAATATTTTAACAGGAACAAAAAGTTTTCACATATGGCACTACAAAGAGGACATTATCTATTCTTAAAGGCACAGGATTACAGAAGACTAATACCTACAGATGGATGCATGCAATGTAATCAAAATAATAGAACAATAATAGGGAAAAAAAAAAAAACATATGAATATATTTGCAATTTGAACCAGACAGATAATGAACAGAAGTAGGGAGAGCATACACCAAAAGATATACCTTCAGTTCACGAATCAGTTTCCCTTGTGTAGTTTCCCAGACTTTTATAGTACAATCCTGAGAGCTGCAAATGTTAAGAAGAGATATAAGTAATAAATATTGAACAAAACATGGATGGTAGCCGTAAAACAATTAAGTAAATTAATACAGGGTGGTGACAGTCAATCGCCTGGAGCTGATACAGAACTTCCAGAGTAAAACAATAAGAATTTGTTGAAGATGAGGCTATAAACTTATTCATGCACTATGAGCTCAAAAAAAGCAATATATGGTGTATTACAGGAAAAAAAATTATTTTATCACACTTCTAAGAATATAAGAAAAGGCCTACCCTGTGTATATCACTCCATCTCCACCCCATTTCACACAAGTCACTGCAAGTGTGTGGCCGCTAAGACAAATAACACATTTCCTCAAAGTAACGTCCCATATGCGTGCATCGCCATCTTTGCTAGAACTTACAAAGCGACGACTAGGAGAATTCAAGTGGATTGGCTCCCAAGAGATACCAGTAATCCATTTCTTGTGACCCTGGAAATAGAAGATTCCGAATATTAGTGTTTCAGAGAAGTTTTTGATAACCAATACAGTCAAAGATAGAGGGACGACTTTCTATGGTCCATCAACACAAACAATTATAGCATTCAATCAATTGCACTCGAAAAGAAACTCAACCATCTAGCAACATATTATTACAACTAAATTTTGTCAAGTTAGCAGAGAAATAAGATTTTTCAAGAGCCTTTACGGTGAGTGGATTGCCTGATGGCTTTCCTGTCTCCGGATCCCAACATTGAAGTTCTCCAGCCTTGCTCCCACTCACAAGGTGCTTTCCATCAGGTGACCAAGCTATACAAAGAACCCAATTCTTGTGTCCTGAAGAAAAGTGAAACTTCTGGTTGTTATGCAAATGTATCAGCAGTAATATTAGCATCAATAGAGGTCAACAATATCCAATTAATTAATCTAGTAAACAATTTAAGAGTTATAGAAAAAATTCTTAATAAAACACATTTAAAAATCAAAAATCATCACTGATACCCAAGCTTGTGATCAGTACATTTATTAAGTGTGTGTACAGAAACTTTAAGGTAAACAATAGAGAGTAGGCAACAGTTATGAGAGTTTCATATTCCTAACCTGTGCATGTGTACATTGGTGTCTGGGTATTGAGGTCCCATATTCGAACGGTGGTATCACCCGAACCACTTGCCAACTGTCGCCCATCAGGACTAAAAGCTACAGAAAGCACAGCTTCCGTATGACCTACAGTATCGAAACATTAACACAGTTGAGAACACCAATTCTGTAACCTAAACCACATGCTAGTGAAAACTGACTCATTCAACGACTCAATATAAAGGAACTAACAATACAACAAAAACCCCCAAAACATTCACACACCAGCAATTGTAGCTGAACAACGATTCACCGGACGAATTCTGAAAATAGCTTGTGGTTGATAAACTATCGACAGCACCTTCTCCACAGAAACTGAAAATCCATCGATACAACAAAATTAAGTAACAAAATGAAAGTAAAAAATCAGAGTACAGAATTAGCAAATGGGTTCATTAATTTTGTAACAATTGTTAAAAACGAACCTTTGTGTTTCTCTAAGTAAGTTCCAAGGGCCACAAGCAGTTCTTGATCTGATATATAAAAAGCATACGGTAATTTCTCCTCCTAAACAAAAACCAAAACGCAGGATTCTGATGATCACTCATCTTAATTTCAACAAAATTATTAAAATTAAACGAAAAAAACATAACATATTTCTTCCAAAGAGAAGTATTTACGTTGTTGAGAAGCTTATTAACGATTTGTTGGAGCTGCTGCGGACCAGCGTTCTGAGGAAGATACATGGGAGCTCCTAACGGAGTCCCTTCCGGGTCCGTCAATAGACACATCACGTTGTTCGTCATCTCCGTTTCCACCTCCATTTCTTCTTCTTTGGTTTAACTTTTTAGGGTCTGTGAATGGGAGTGAGTTTTCTGAAATAGAGAAGAAGTAGGGTTTTCAGGGTTTAAGGGTTGGAGACGAGGGTGGGGTTTATGGAGTCGCCGTCAGATGGACGGGCCAAGCCTGGGCCAATTAATGGGCTTACAGCCCATTGCGCCGAGTTAATTTATTAGCCCACCAGCCCATAAATCCAGCTTCAACTATGACAACCTTAAACGCCCTGGAATTTACCTGAATTTCAAAACACTCCCTCTTATTTGAGAATTATTGCTCACCTCCTCCGTAAGTTTCACTTACTATAAGATTAGGTTAACAATAATTAAACAAAATTATAAGGAAGCATCAAAATTATACTAAATGCAAGGGTTAAATAAACTAAATTAACTTCTAAAATTATTCTATTTGATATGTAGATAAATCAACGAGATATTACATAAATAGCATGAATGTCAAGCTTATTGAAAATATTCAAAAGAACTTGCCATAGGAAAACACAAAATGCACGATTACTAAGAATAATAATACAAGTCATGCGATTCTTACGAAATATCTTGATTTTATATTTATTCGTGATATAGTAAAACCGTCTAGTAAAATAAGAACACATAATATAAAACCTACATCAAATTTTTTCTTTCATCTAACTTTCATCATTATTCATGACTAATTATCCTTCATCGTTCCATAATAATCACTATCATCATAGTTTCGCTAATCACCGTGTCAATAAAATAACATGGTGAGACTATTGCTCCATAGTTTCGCTAATCACCGCGTCAATAAATTTATTGTTCAATGTCATGTATTCTGTTTCGATTTATGGGAAAAAAAACAAGGGAAAGGGCTTCTTTTTTATAGATAATTACAAGCGGATGGTGTGTTCTTTCCATTGAGACAGTATTATTAAGGAAAATTTTCAAAATCTAATACCCTTGAGGTTTTGCTAATGCTTAGTTTTATGGTAATTGTGCTTGAAATCATCACAAAATACCCCTCTTCACTAACAACGTTATTTCTATTACTTTTAATTTTAAATTTCTTTTGAAAATATTATTTTTCCCACAGTTTTTATTGAAGGTCAGATATTTTGTTAACTAGACAACTCAAATCTGCTTCCTCTTGGTCACCTAAATCTAAAAATTTTAAAAATTCCTTGACGAAATGATAAAAATACCTTGAAACATGAGTAGTCTAACAGTAAGGGCGAACCGAAAGGCTGTAAGTCCAACCTACAATCCCAGGTTTGATTCCTCTACTAGGTGCGAAGGTAGTACACATTTACCTATGATTTACCTTAAGAGCTACAGTAATAGGTTGTTGTGGAATAGTTTCTCTTAAAAAATAATCGAGATATCCGTAAACTGATTTGGATACCTAGTTAAAAAAGAAAAAGAAAAACCGACGTTTGAATGAGGAGGAATATTTTGTTACCATAAAGTCTGAGTAGTACAACAAAATCTCAGGTAGATTTTAAAAATTTCCAGTATAATTATTAAAATATATAGATGGAAGCTGTCTCAGTAGACTCTTGTCTATATAGTTGCTGATTCAGTTGACTCTTATTCTGCACCTGGAATTAATGCAGTTGTCCCCTGCAAATAACAAACTCTCCCCTCTTTAGGTTCTTCCAGTGAAAGTTCGTTTAGGGACATTCTTACCTTCGTTAATGGAAGGTGCCACCAGTCAATAAAAGTGTTTCAAGGTTCCTTACTCTTGTCAATGTATGACAGTTGCCGGCCCTGTACTTATATTATAAGAAAATCAGAAAAAGAAGAAGATATCAGATCAAGATTGTAATACATAAAGAACATGATAGTCCATTTGTTAAACGATGACTGCAAAACGAGATGCAGATCTAATTAATATTTAAAACGAAATATTTAACCTCATTACACGTAATACAACCAATACAATTAGAAATGTCATGTTTTCACTCCGTACCAGGTTTATATTTGTTTTATTTCATATCTCGATGAAGGATATCTCGATGAAAGGATGATAAAGAAGGAANAGTGAAAGTTCGTTTAGGGACATTCTTACCTTCGTTAATGGAAGGTGCCACCAGTCAATAAAAGTGTTTCAAGGTTCCTTACTCTTGTCAATGTATGACAGTTGCCGGCCCTGTACTTATATTATAAGAAAATCAGAAAAAGAAGAAGATATCAGATCAAGATTGTAATACATAAAGAACATGATAGTCCATTTGTTAAACGATGACTGCAAAACGAGATGCAGATCTAATTAATATTTAAAACGAAATATTTAACCTCAATACACGTAATACAACCAATACAATTAGAAATGTCATGTTTTCATTCCGTACCAGGTTCATATTTGTTTTATTTCATATCTCGATGAAGGATATCTCGATGAAAGGATGATAAAGAAGGAAATTTCCAGGATGCTGTACACATAGAAACGAATCAACGACAGTAAGAAAATAAAACGCGTGTTTTAACTTAGAAAAGTGTTGAAATTTATTCATTTTTAATGCAAATATTCTGCCACTGCTGCATTCCCTTTATACGCGTGACATTTCTTCTATTTAAGAGCTCAACCTCTTTGTCTTTCTTAATTAAGAGTTACAGAAATGGTATCTTCTTCAAGTGATGAAAAGGAAGGAATTATGAGTCGGGGTTGGGAGCGGCTGAATTCCTTGCCAGGAAAAGTAATAAAATTAGGACAAGATGATCCCAGAAGGGTTACTCATTCTCTGAAAGTGGGACTCGCTGTCACCTTGGTGTCAATATTGTTCTACTACTTTGAACCACTCTATCATGGTTTTGGTGTCTCTGCAATGTGGGCTGTTTTGACTGTTGTTGTTGTTTTTGAATTCTCTGTAGGTAAGGTTTTGGCTTTACTGTAAATCTACTAGTAGTATTTAATTCACTTTCTCTTTCTTTTCTTGGGTAAGTTTGATTAATTGTTCTTGCAGGAGCCACACTTGGTAAAGGTTTAAATAGGGGTTTGGCAACATTTACGGCTGGAGTTTTAGGATTTGGTGGTCACCGTTTAGCAAGCCTGTTTGGAGATAAGGGTGAACAGATACTCCTTGCGCTTTTTGTCTTCCTCATAGGTAAATCTGCAAGAACTAAATTTTGGAAGGGATATATTAATTATTAATTTCCTTTACTGAAAACCCTTTGTTATTTAACTCTTTTATATACAAAAATAATTAAACTAATGATTTTGGTAAATTTGATTGTGATGCAGCTGCAGCAGTGACATATTTAAGATTTTTTCCTCGAATGAAGGCGAGATATGATTATGGGCTCCTGATTTTCATCTTGACATTCAGCATGATTTCTGTTTCTGGTTACCATGATGATGAGCTGCTGCCGATAGCTGAGCAGAGGATATTTACCATCCTGACTGGTGGGCTCACGGCTGTGGCGGTATGCATTTTCATTTGCCCTGTATGGGCTGGAGATGATCTTCACAATTTGGTTGCTAACAACATTGAAAAACTGGCCATCTTCTTAGAAGGTACATCATCTTTAAAAGTAAATGATGACTAGACGTGAATGAATATATAAATTAGTTAATTTCGTTAAAACATGCGACTATAAACTACCTTTGATTGGTCAAGTGGTTCGATAAGGATTTATGGGTATATTACTCAAAAGGTTATGAGTTCGAGTCCCCCCCTTGATAACTAATAGAGGTAGATATTGGAGCTCTTACTCAGCTGATAATTTCAAGATCTTGGGAGATTAGTTGAGGTACACGTAAGCTGACCTCGACAACCTCAATCATTAAAAAAAAAAAAAAAAAGGCCATGAAAGGGCTAGAGCCTAGAGAGGCTCTTTATTTTTCATTCTATTCATGTATATTTGCATATATGTGCTGGAAAAGTTAATTAAAAGGTATATACAATGATATAATGCAGGTTTTGGATCTGAATACTTCAAAATACCAGAGGATGAAGAATCACTGAAAAAAGTATCAGAAGAATATAAAAGTGTGCTCACTTCAAAACAAAGTGAGGAATCCTTGGTGAGTTTACTACCTACATAAAACCACCAGTACTATCATATATATTCCCCCTCTCCTTCTCCAGCTTCATTCTGTCACCCTCTGAACTTGAACATAATTAACTATTATTTTAAGCTGTTCTTTGCTCAACATTCAAACTTTCACACTCGAAAACCAATCTTATTTTTTCTCAACTAATTGAAGTATACATTTGGGATTTTATTAAAGTCAGCCACTTTTGAACCATATTTCATATTTGTATACAAATTATGAGAAGTGAATTATAAGCTGCAACTGCACGCAACCCACAAAATAATATTGATGGGAAGAGCCGCAAGTTTCTTGCATGGGGCGGCAGAAATTGCCAAAACTGTCCGTAACAAGAGATTTTTCAATATATATTCACCATTTTAATCAAATCTACGTGTTAATCAAAACATCTATTTCCAACAGGCCGTTATGTGATTTTCATACTGAATTTATCACCTTTTTTTTTTTTTTAAAGTGAAGCGAATCATTAGGCGGTGAATACATTTTAATTTTAGTGGCATATATAGTATACTTAAAACTTGAATAACATTTTACTGAAAAATGGCTCTATATAATGGAGATGCATAATTTTGTTTGGTGCAAGTAAAAACACGATTATCATATGTGTTTTGCAGGCAAACTTTGCTAGATGGGAGCCTGGCCATGGTAAATTCAAGTTTCGTCATCCCTGGAAAAACTACCTGATGATTGGAAGCGTAACCCGACAATGTGCTTACAAAATTGAAGCTCTTAATGACTGCCTGCACAGCGAAACCCAAGTAAGAAATGCCCCAATATTACTTTCCTTCAAATTCTATGGAGCATTTACTTTATAATCAACGTTAAAGATGTCTAATTTGGTCTAATTACTTGCAGACACCACAAGAAATCCGATGCAAAATTGAAGAGGCAAGTCTAAAACTGTGTTCAGAATCTGTCAATACTTTAAGAGAATTAGCTTTGGCATTGAGAAAAATGATTCCACCAAAATCTGCTAATGAACACCTTATAAATTCCAAAATTGCCGCCAAGAACCTCAAATCCTTGCTGAATACAGGCTTGTGCAAGGAAACTGACCTCCTAGAAGTTATACCAGCAGCTACCATGGCTTGTCTACTAGTTGATGTTGTTTCTTACAATGAGAGAATTGCAGAGTCGATTCAGGAACTAGCCTCTCTTGCTAAATTCAAAAGTAGTGGGAAACCTGAGGTAATACCAGCTCAACCAAATTTATGTCCCCAGGAAATTTCGCAGCAAAATTCTTGCATTAGTATACCAGCTCAACAAACTTTATGTTACCAGAGAAGTATGCAGAGAAATTCTAGCATCAATATTGCACCCCATCATGTTATTACAGCTCAAGAAGAATCCCCGTGTTCATCAGTTGATCGGACTTCATAAAAAACAACAGATTGAGAAATGGATGCACGTCCCTAACATGCAGTATGACTCGCCACCCATGTTAGTTTTATATATGTTGGCATTGACTGGATCAGTTTCTGATGAAAGTGCCACAAGGAAATCGCCTATTGAAGGAGTAAAATCTTGTTATCGCCTTCGGAATATATGGAAGTTGGTGGTGGGATGAGTTTTGATTAATGGAAATTCTTGATTGTATGTGTCAGCATTGAATTAATGATAGATTCACCTTTTATTTATATATAAATGAAATAATTCCATTCAATGAAAACATATTAATTAGTTACTCCATGTTAATTGATGATGATTTGAAAATATATAATCAAATCAAAATTTTGTTTTGTTGAGTGACTTTGATAAGGAACTCAATTTACTTTTAGAAATGGTTTCATATTGTAGTCTTATCGAAAGAGATTATTCCCCGGCTTAAAAAAGGATTGCCTTTTGTAGCTTTTTTTTTTTTTTTTTTTTTTCCGAGTAAACCTGGTAATTATCTCTCTCGCGCGACCCCTAGAGATAACTAACTTCAATGGCTTAAGGCTTGCCATCCGACTACAAAAAGAGAAGTTCTTTTGTAACGACTTGCACATATGATTAAAAAGTTAGAAATATTGTATTATCAACTTTTGACAAAGTTTTAGGATTTGCTCGTTTTCATTTCCAAATCCATTTTACAGAAGGGGAGAAGTAGAATTATGGATTAAAGAGAAATCTAGGAGGAAAGGTAAGAGAGCCATCAACGTTCAGGAGCATATATATTAGCCAGAGAGATCCTGGAGCACCAAAGGCAAAGAAGGAACGGTTCCAAAATCACCAAGGTTTATGACTACAGGTCGCACAGTCCATTCGAGAAAGATCCGACTGCCCCTTCACAGGTACACACTTGATGCCATATAGAGGGACAGACAAAGACAACAAAATCAGCAAATCAAGATGAACCCAGAGGAAGGATATGAAAACAACCAATGGGGGTCGACAGGATCAGACCTATGGAAGCAAAATTTTCATTCTTTCAAAATTATACTAAATGCAAGGGTTAAATCAACTAAATTAACTTCTAAATTTCCTCTATTTGATATGTAGATAAATCAAACCAGATACTACACAAAGAACATGAACGTTAAGTTTATTGAAAATATTCAAAGGAACTTGCCATTAGAAAACACAAAATGCACGATTACTAAGAATAATTATACAAGTCGTGCTATTCTTATGAAATATTTTGACTTTATATTTACTCCTGATATAGTAAAACCGTCTAATAAAATAAGAACATGTAATATAATAAGTACATCAAAAAATTTCTTTCAATTAACTTTCGTCACTAATTATCCTTCATCGTTCCATAAGAATCTATCGTTATAGTTTCGCTAATCATTGTGTCAATAAAATAAAATGGTAAGGTTATGTTAGATAAGTCTTTGTAAGTATATAAGTCTTTGTAAGGTTTGTAATTATCTATCGGTTTGCATTATTATTCTTGGTATTATTACTTATCCAGATAGAGTAAACGACATATTCCTATATGAGATTTAGCAAAATCTCAAGTTGATACCCCCGATGAGTGAGGTTGGTAAGTGAAAATATGGGTTTTGTAGAGAAGGTTATGGGGAGTCCAATACTAGTCTCGGAAGTAATTTTACACTTTAGAATCGACCAAAAATATCGGCTTGGTTGCTACTAACGTGAGCCTCTTTTTGCTAAAATGAGTATGTCTCCTGTCAAAGAAAGCGCCAACACATTTTAGTGTGCTAACGTGCATCTTGCTACAGTAAAAAAACTAAGAATCTGTTAAAATAAAGAATACGACGTTACTTTCAGAGTAGAAATCTGGAATAAATGCAACTAAAAGTATCAACTACAATATCGCTAAACCTCGGGTGGGAATATGTTATTTGCTCTATCCAGATAAACAAAAAAGCCGGCACATAATTACAGATCCCAGGGACGTTCAGTTGGGCTCATTTCCTCGTCTTTTTGTTCAATTTCTTTCCCCATTCAAAAATTCATAATTTTTATATATACAAAACTTATAAAATATTGCTTTATCACTCACCTCAGCCATCATCATCACTCTCTCTTTCTCAAACTACAATCTTCAGACAAGAACAAGAAAACCCATGCCTAGTTTGAGTATTCTGTGCTTAATTTTATTTTTTACACTATTACCACATACAATTCTGTCAAAACTTGAACCTGTGGAAGCTTTACTTAACCGTTTGGAGTCTAAACTCTCATCTTCATCGGTTCAAGAGTCAGCAGCCAAAGCCGTCTTGCAGAGATTGCTTCCCACCCATGTACATAGCTTTGACTTCAAAATTGTCTCCAAGGTGGGAACTTGCTGCCTTTTCTCAAGTGGGTATCATATATTTTTGTTCAATGTTGTGTATTCTGCTTTGGTTTCTGGGAAAAAACATGGGAAAGGGCCTAAAGGCCAACTTTATTACTCCATAGCTCGTGCTTGCTCCTTCTCCTTATATAATTATATCATTTGGATGTGACTAAATTATTGTTATATAATTATACCATCGAGAATTCTGTTTGCGGACATTTGAACTCTCTTATGCGAGAATTGATAGGACTTTGTAAAAAAATTTCTTTTTTTTATTAAGTGCATGCAAAATTTCACGAACTCTTCGTTGACCAGATGCACTCACCCAGCAGTGTATAGTTCTTGCTTAGAAAGGAGTTAGTGTAGCTTTATATCTGTTTCTTAAGTCATAACCATTGTTTGGCCTGTGCATATGTTTTCATTATTGTATATATATGATGTTAATTGTTTCTTACTTACACATATCAGGATGTTTGTGGGGGACAGAGTTGCTTCTTGATAGATAATAACAAGCGATCTATCCAGAATGATCCTAAAATAATGTATGTATAATTTGCTCTTGTTCATAGTATATATGCAATTTGCTCTTGTTCATAGTATATGCGCATAATTCTTTGAGTCTTCAGTCTGCTGTAAGCTTGCTGGAAATGATTAATTAATTCAGTGTGTCCATAGCATGAGATTTTTTTAATTTCATATTCAGACATAAACTGACTTTTATTACTCTTGTATATGAGATTCTTGTAGGTTTATGTGCAAATGTGTCGAATTCAATTATCTCACATGTAAAAATTTCTTAATCTGCAGCACTCAATAAATTTACTCTTTTTCCATCCAGCAATTCAATCAAATAATTCTTAGTACATCCTAAAGGTCTGATAGTAGGTGTGTCTGTGTGTATATCAATGTTTACAATGACATTTATGTTGCAGGTTTTTAAAAATCTTAGTTGTTACACTTATATTTTAGGATTAGAGGGACCACTGGAGTTGAAATCACATCCGGCCTCCATTGGTACATCAAATATTGGTGTGGTGCTCATGTTTCATGGGACAAGACTGGTGGCATTCAGATAGCATCTGTTCCCAGTCCAGGTTCATTGCCACTCGTAAAAGATAAGGGTGTGAGGATTCAACGGCCAGTACCATGGAACTATTACCAAAATGTTGTTACCTCCAGTTGTAAGTACTATGTATTCGTCCCTGTTTTCACTTCTAGATCTTCATTATTGTTTTACTAAATGTGTTCTGTTATCACTGCAGAGCCACTATATGTCTAATCTTGCTACATCAGATATGGAAACTAATATGCAAAATTTGTAGATTAATATAGTGATTCAAATACAATTTTGGTACAGTATATTGCTTTCCATTGTTTCATTATATAACATGCTAATGAAAGAATTGTAACAGGCTCAACTCTGCCTCTAGGTAAATGAAAACTGAATAATGAAAAACCCTAGATGTATTGTGATTTAATGAAGTCCACAAGGTTTCTCATACTACTATTGTGATAATGTAGATGTTATAACATAGATGTGACTCTGGTAATATGCAGATTCATACGTTTGGTGGGATTGGGAGAAATGGGAGAAAGAGATAGACTGGATGGCTCTTCAAGGGATTAACCTGCCCTTGGCATTTACTGGGCAAGAATCCATTTGGCAAAAGGTTTTTATGGTGAGCAATTATTACTGTCATCATAGATCTTGATAAATCCACGAATGTGTAGTGTACTACTATGTTATTTGTTTGATTGGTGTCTTCATATTGCAGAATTTTAACATTAGCAAGGAAGATTTGAATGATTTCTTTGGTGGACCTGCCTTCCTTGCTTGGGCACGTATGGGAAACTTGCATGGGTAGGTAATAATTACTACCTCACCTGTCTACTTAGCATCTGGAAACCAAGGGAAATGTTTAAATGAAGCTATTAGTTCTCTCTTTCACTTTTAATTATCCTTGCTATCAAATTGTATGTTTCCCCCTCATATAGACTTTTTCTTGTGGATAAAACAAGTTTTCTTCCTGTTGGTTGACTTATTAAAACGGAAATAATGAAACAAAAACTTCTGGTCTTATATACTGCATGAATTCCTTGAACTCAACTTTGAGATAAATGGACCAGAAGTCATTTAAATTTGGAGCTATATGAGCTTCTATTTTAGGCTTTAGGTGTTGGTTACTGAGAAATTAAATTATCTTGCTAAGGGTCAAGTAATAACCTGCTTTTGTTTCATTTTTCTTGTCCTGAAATTCCTTCCTCCCCCAATAAGAAATAAGGCAAATTCTTCTTCTATAGATAATGCGCACAATTCATGGTAAGCAAATAAGCTCTTGCAGTTCTTTGCCATCTTCCTGTCTTTTTTGTTTATGGACTGTAACATATTATCATATTGCAGATGGGGTGGGCCTTTATCGCAAAATTGGTTAAATCAACAACTGCTTTTGCAGAAACAGATACTATCTCGGATGCTGGAGCTGGGCATGACTCCTGGTATACTTGAGTTTCCTCATGGAATTGAATTTCGTCATTGACTCTCTGCTTGTTATCTGATGTTTTATACACATTATGCGATATACTATTAGTGTACCTTGTCTACAGAAGTATTGGTTAGACAAACATAATGTGTGTGTTCATGTGTACCTGATGAAGTCTACTGTCTTCTTTTTTTCCAGTTCTGCCATCATTCTCAGGGAACGTTCCAGCAGCCTTAAAGAAGATCTTCCCTTCAGCAAAGATAACCAGACTTGGGGATTGGTATTCCATGTCTCTTTTTTCATAAACATTACTAGTCATACTGTTGTGTTATATCATAAGGGCTTGAGATAAAATATATGTGTATAACATATCGCCTATGGATTCCTAATATGTTGATTAATTTACATCATCTATCATATCTTGCAACAAATCATATCTGGATTGATTGTTTATCACCTTTCTGGTATGTAAACATTTCTCTTTTCATACATCATACACATCAATTGAAGTTTTCAATTTCTTTCTTCCTATTAGGAACACTGTGGATGGTAATCCTAAGTGGTGCTGCACTTACCTTCTTGATCCCACTGATCCATTATTTATCGAAATAGGAGAGGCCTTTATCAGGCTACAAGTCGCAGGTATACATAACTGTTGTAAAACTCTTGAACAAATGATATTACATTTGTTCATGAAACATTTCATTGATTCTTTTCTTCACCTTTTAACTTACCTTTACTGGTTTATATGTTGTTTGAATATATTTCAGAATATGGGGATGTGACAGACATCTACAATTGGTATGGTCGCTCTTATTTTATGTCAATGATACACTTCTTTGCATATGGACTATATAGCTAAAGATATTGCATTGGAATTTATACATTTTGAGCTCTGTCATTTGATACTGAGCTTTACTGTGAAAACAAGAAAACTGATGTCATGACCAGTCTTACCCAGTGAAAGAAATATACACAGTTTACATTATTTTACGTTGTTTAAGTTGTAAGTGAATTGGAGCTAACAAGTAGCAATTGTACTATGGCTTTATTGATGGTAGAATTGATGTTCATCATTGTATTGGAGAATTTAGACATGTAAAAGCTTAAGTTGTTGAGACACACAATCAAATGTGAAAGGCTTAATGACTTGGTGGTTAAGTAGCATTGCTCTCATGTATTCATCTTTTACATGTATGTACTTCATATTAGTGTCAGAAAATCATCTTTTTGCAATGTATTGGCTCATTTTTTCCCCTTCATTTAGTGTGCATAGTATGTTTGATGGCATGAATTAATATAATTTTAATGCAGTGATACATTCAACGAAAATTCTCCACCTACAAATGATCCAAAATTTATTTCATCGCTTGGAGCTGCAGTGTATAAAGCGATGGCCAAGGGTGATAAAGATGCTGTGTGGTTAATGCAAGTATGCACTTAATTTCTTCCTTGTCCCTCCTTTTCTCCTGTTTTTTCTAGGATTTTTTTTCCTTGTAACTTCCATCACTCTTGATGTGTGTATGAAATGAGTGCTTTTTGATAATCACAAGTTCACTGTGTGATATCTGTTATTTGTTTAGTGCCTTTTTCCCTTTGGTACTCCACTGATAATTATTTCTAGTTGATATCTCTTTCATGTGCAGGGTTGGCTCTTCTACTCAGACTCTGCTTTCTGGAAGCCACCCCAAATGAAAGTATGCATGTAAATGGACAAATTGCTTGAATACTGGTTATTTTCGAAGCTTGTTAATCATAGACCTGGTGTTATCTTCAGGCACTTTTACACTCTGTTCCAGTTGGGAAAATGATAGTTCTTGATCTATTTGCTGATGTCAAACCAATATGGAAAACTTCCTCTCAATTTTATGGTACCCCTTATGTCTGGTAATTACCTTCTTTTACCAAATTTTTTGCTTCTTGCATAGTTGATGAGATGTTCAGTCTTTTAATACATTTATCATAAATCATTTGCGAGATTCCTTTTTGTTTGGTTTTCAAAGTTGATTTTTAATTTCATTGGAAAATTTTCATTATTGATCATCGAATATATATCAGGTGTATGTTGCATAATTTTGGGGGAAATATTGAAATGTATGGCATATTGGACGCAATTTCTTCAGGTCCAGTTGATGCTCGTGTCAGTGAAAATTCAACCATGGTATGATGAAGCCTTTGTGTTTGAATATCTTTTTAATTGCTGATTTCCTGTCACTCAAAATAAATAAATAAATTAAAGCATTTTTTTAATTTCATATTCAGACATAAACTGACTTTTATTACTCTTGTATATGAGATTCTTGTAGGTTTATGTGCAAATGTGTCGAATTCAATTATCTCACATGTAAAAATTTCTTAATCTGCAGCACTCAATAAATTTACTCTTTTTCCATCCAGCAATTCAATCAAATAATTCTTAGTACATCCTAAAGATCTGATAGTAGGTGTGTCTGTGTGTATATCAATGTTTACAATGACATTTATGTTGCAGGTTTTTAAAAATCTTAGTTGTTACACTTATATTTTAGGATTAGAGGGACCACTGGAGTTGAAATCACATCCGGCCTCCATTGGTACATCAAATATTGGTGTGGTGCTCATGTTTCATGGGACAAGACTGGTGGCATTCAGATAGCATCTGTTCCCAGTCCAGGTTCATTGCCACTCGTAAAAGATAAGGGTGTGAGGATTCAACGGCCAGTACCATGGAACTATTACCAAAATGTTGTTACCTCCAGTTGTAAGTACTATGTATTCGTCCCTGTTTTCACTTCTAGATCTTCATTATTGTTTTACTAAATGTGTTCTGTTATCACTGCAGAGCCACTATATGTCTAATCTTGCTACATCAGATATGGAAACTAATATGCAAAATTTGTAGATTAATATAGTGATTCAAATACAATTTTGGTACAGTATATTGCTTTCCATTGTTTCATTATATAACATGCTAATGAAAGAATTGTAACAGGCTCAACTCTGCCTCTAGGTAAATGAAAACTGAATAATGAAAAACCCTAGATGTATTGTGATTTAATGAAGTCCACAAGGTTTCTCATACTACTATTGTGATAATGTAGATGTTATAACATAGATGTGACTCTGGTAATATGCAGATTCATACGTTTGGTGGGATTGGGAGAAATGGGAGAAAGAGATAGACTGGATGGCTCTTCAAGGGATTAACCTGCCCTTGGCATTTACTGGGCAAGAATCCATTTGGCAAAAGGTTTTTATGGTGAGCAATTATTACTGTCATCATAGATCTTGATAAATCCACGAATGTGTAGTGTACTACTATGTTATTTGTTTGATTGGTGTCTTCATATTGCAGAATTTTAACATTAGCAAGGAAGATTTGAATGATTTCTTTGGTGGACCTGCCTTCCTTGCTTGGGCACGTATGGGAAACTTGCATGGGTAGGTAATAATTACTACCTCACCTGTCTACTTAGCATCTGGAAACCAAGGGAAATGTTTAAATGAAGCTATTAGTTCTCTCTTTCACTTTTAATTATCCTTGCTATCAAATTGTATGTTTCCCCCTCATATAGACTTTTTCTTGTGGATAAAACAAGTTTTCTTCCTGTTGGTTGACTTATTAAAACGGAAATAATGAAACAAAAACTTCTGGTCTTATATACTGCATGAATTCCTTGAACTCAACTTTGAGATAAATGGACCAGAAGTCATTTAAATTTGGAGCTATATGAGCTTCTATTTTAGGCTTTAGGTGTTGGTTACTGAGAAATTAAATTATCTTGCTAAGGGTCAAGTAATAACCTGCTTTTGTTTCATTTTTCTTGTCCTGAAATTCCTTCCTCCCCCAATAAGAAATAAGGCAAATTCTTCTTCTATAGATAATGCGCACAATTCATGGTAAGCAAATAAGCTCTTGCAGTTCTTTGCCATCTTCCTGTCTTTTTTGTTTATGGACTGTAACATATTATCATATTGCAGATGGGGTGGGCCTTTATCGCAAAATTGGTTAAATCAACAACTGCTTTTGCAGAAACAGATACTATCTCGGATGCTGGAGCTGGGCATGACTCCTGGTATACTTGAGTTTCCTCATGGAATTGAATTTCGTCATTGACTCTCTGCTTGTTATCTGATGTTTTATACACATTATGCGATATACTATTAGTGTACCTTGTCTACAGAAGTATTGGTTAGACAAACATAATGTGTGTGTTCATGTGTACCTGATGAAGTCTACTGTCTTCTTTTTTTCCAGTTCTGCCATCATTCTCAGGGAACGTTCCAGCAGCCTTAAAGAAGATCTTCCCTTCAGCAAAGATAACCAGACTTGGGGATTGGTATTCCATGTCTCTTTTTTCATAAACATTACTAGTCATACTGTTGTGTTATATCATAAGGGCTTGAGATAAAATATATGTGTATAACATATCGCCTATGGATTCCTAATATGTTGATTAATTTACATCATCTATCATATCTTGCAACAAATCATATCTGGATTGATTGTTTATCACCTTTCTGGTATGTAAACATTTCTCTTTTCATACATCATACACATCAATTGAAGTTTTCAATTTCTTTCTTCCTATTAGGAACACTGTGGATGGTAATCCTAAGTGGTGCTGCACTTACCTTCTTGATCCCACTGATCCATTATTTATCGAAATAGGAGAGGCCTTTATCAGGCTACAAGTCGCAGGTATACATAACTGTTGTAAAACTCTTGAACAAATGATATTACATTTGTTCATGAAACATTTCATTGATTCTTTTCTTCACCTTTTAACTTACCTTTACTGGTTTATATGTTGTTTGAATATATTTCAGAATATGGGGATGTGACAGACATCTACAATTGGTATGGTCGCTCTTATTTTATGTCAATGATACACTTCTTTGCATATGGACTATATAGCTAAAGATATTGCATTGGAATTTATACATTTTGAGCTCTGTCATTTGATACTGAGCTTTACTGTGAAAACAAGAAAACTGATGTCATGACCAGTCTTACCCAGTGAAAGAAATATACACAGTTTACATTATTTTACGTTGTTTAAGTTGTAAGTGAATTGGAGCTAACAAGTAGCAATTGTACTATGGCTTTATTGATGGTAGAATTGATGTTCATCATTGTATTGGAGAATTTAGACATGTAAAAGCTTAAGTTGTTGAGACACACAATCAAATGTGAAAGGCTTAATGACTTGGTGGTTAAGTAGCATTGCTCTCATGTATTCATCTTTTACATGTATGTACTTCATATTAGTGTCAGAAAATCATCTTTTTGCAATGTATTGGCTCATTTTTTCCCCTTCATTTAGTGTGCATAGTATGTTTGATGGCATGAATTAATATAATTTTAATGCAGTGATACATTCAACGAAAATTCTCCACCTACAAATGATCCAAAATTTATTTCATCGCTTGGAGCTGCAGTGTATAAAGCGATGGCCAAGGGTGATAAAGATGCTGTGTGGTTAATGCAAGTATGCACTTAATTTCTTCCTTGTCCCTCCTTTTCTCCTGTTTTTTCTAGGATTTTTTTTCCTTGTAACTTCCATCACTCTTGATGTGTGTATGAAATGAGTGCTTTTTGATAATCACAAGTTCACTGTGTGATATCTGTTATTTGTTTAGTGCCTTTTTCCCTTTGGTACTCCACTGATAATTATTTCTAGTTGATATCTCTTTCATGTGCAGGGTTGGCTCTTCTACTCAGACTCTGCTTTCTGGAAGCCACCCCAAATGAAAGTATGCATGTAAATGGACAAATTGCTTGAATACTGGTTATTTTCGAAGCTTGTTAATCATAGACCTGGTGTTATCTTCAGGCACTTTTACACTCTGTTCCAGTTGGGAAAATGATAGTTCTTGATCTATTTGCTGATGTCAAACCAATATGGAAAACTTCCTCTCAATTTTATGGTACCCCTTATGTCTGGTAATTACCTTCTTTTACCAAATTTTTTGCTTCTTGCATAGTTGATGAGATGTTCAGTCTTTTAATACATTTATCATAAATCATTTGCGAGATTCCTTTTTGTTTGGTTTTCAAAGTTGATTTTTAATTTCATTGGAAAATTTTCATTATTGATCATCGAATATATATCAGGTGTATGTTGCATAATTTTGGGGGAAATATTGAAATGTATGGCATATTGGACGCAATTTCTTCAGGTCCAGTTGATGCTCGTGTCAGTGAAAATTCAACCATGGTACGATGAAGCCTTTGTGTTTGAATATCTTTTTAATTGCTGATTTCCTGTCACTCAAAATAAATAAATAAATTAAAGCATGTAATACTTGGATATCTAAAATGCACTATTAAATTTTCGTTCAGGTTAGTATAATGGTATCATTGCAAGAGTGATATAATTGTCAATACTAGATTTTCTCTCTTTTATATATATATCTTTAACTTATTCTACACACTTCATTTATCTTAGAGAACTTCGAGTGTCTTATGTAACAAAGTTCTGTTTTTTGGCACATTAGTTTCTCTTACTCTCAAGGCAGATTTCTTCGTGTTTCTTAGTATTATTGGCATGCAGGTTGGTGTTGGCATGTGCATGGAAGGGATAGAGCAAAACCCGGTTGTTTATGAGTTAATGTCTGAAATGGCTTTCCGCAACAAAAAAGTTAAAGTGCTGGTATTCTAATGTCTAATTAGCGTTCAATGCTTGAAGCAGTCTATATCTACTTCTGTTCTTTTATACGTCCTAAGATGGAATTTAACTTTATGGTTTTGAAGGAATGGCTGAAGACGTATGCCCATAGGCGCTATGGTAAAGCTGTTCATCAAGCGGAGGCAGCTTGGGAAATTCTTTATCGCACAGTTTACAATTGTACAGATGGAATTGCTGTATGTGTTTGAGTAAATTTATTCTCTGTATTTTGATTCCTTTTCTATCTTATTGGAAATAGACCTAGTGTACTAAATGTATCCTTTTGCCTAAATTTTAACCATTTCATTGTTGCAGGACCATAACATTGACTTCATAGTTAAATTTCCAGATTGGAATCCATCATCAGGATCTCACATATCAAAACAAAACCAGATGCCAGTGACCCTCACACTGCCAGGACCTAGAAGATACTTATCCCAAAAAAAAAGCTCTCAATCGCCTCAGGCTCATTTATGGTATTCGACTCAGGAGGTAGTCAATGCTTTACAATTGTTCATTGATGCTGGAAATGACCTAGCTGGTAGTTCCACATATAGGTAATGTCAAACCCAATATGCATGTACCATTTTAAGCCCATAATAATACAGTAAGGTTAATCCTTTCATACTTGCTTATCGTTTTGACAGATATGACTTGGTAGACTTAACACGACAAGTATTGTCAAAGCTAGCAAACAAAGTGTACTCAGATGCTATGGTTGCTTACCGAAAGAAGGATGGCAAAGCTTTTAGTCTTTGTACCCAAAAATTTCTTCAACTCATTAAGGATACTGATGTACTACTTGCTTCCAATGATAACTTTCTACTTGGAACATGGCTTGAAAGTGCAAAAAAGTCGGCTTTAAATCCTAGTGAAACGAAACAGGTCAGAAAGGTTTCTCTTTTTTAATTCAAATCTTTATTCAGGGAACTCTATTCTACATAATTGTCATCCCCTATAGATTATATGCATTCTTTATTTTTCAAACTTGTTTATACAGTAAAGAACCTGCATTTGAGCTATATGCTTCTCTTCCATTATATCTTCAGACAATGGTAATGGTGTATTCATTAACTTGATAGGCTAATATATTGGTTTTTGATAAAGGACCGAGGTCAATCGGATAATCTTACATCATTTGATGTGAACAAGTTTTCGAAGTAATTCACTCATGTATTAGATTGGTATTGGTTGTTGTTTTTTTTTTTTTTTTTTTTTTTTTTTTTTTTTTTTACTTCTCCTTCAGTATGAGTGGAATGCGAGAACACAAGTGACAATGTGGTATGATACCAACAAAACCATGCAGAGCCAGCTTCATGATTATGGTAATGTTACTGCTATAATTTGTATGCTATGATAATTATACACGGTTCTGTCATTTGTGTAATGCAATCTTTCGTTATCCTGGTTAGCAAACAAATTCTGGAGTGGGCTATTAGAAGATTACTATCTTCCCCGAGCTGCAACATATTTCGGTTATTTGTCGAAAAGCTTGAGAGATAATGAAGAATTCAAGTTGGAGGAATGGAGGAAAGAATGGATATCCTTCTCAACCAATTGGCAAGCAGGTACAAATCTTTACCCAGTCAAGGCCAAAGGAGATTCCCTTGCTATTTCTAGATCATTATATGATAAATATTTCGGTCAATACTCAAATGAGCCATGATAAACTAAAGAACTGATTAGGGAGTTTTCATAAAATTGTTTGTAATAATATCACCCTTCCTAAAGTTTATCGTCGGCACAAATATTTTATTTGGATCAAACACAGCTTTAAAAGGAATTAGCAGTGAATGTGGCCTAAATGTACTGGTTTGAGTGCTCTATGACTCCATTAAAGAACTTTGGTTCCATCCCGTTCATTGTAGAAAGGAATTTTCTGGAGGAAAATTATTTACTTTTTATAAACTTTTTTTATTCAAATATCAAATATAATTCTAAAGATATGATTGAATAATACAACTACTTGACTAATCATGGGCTTGTAAAATTTGCATCATGGTCACAGGAATGTTTCTGTCCTTATCAATTGAAGTATCAGATTGTTGATTGAGAAAGACAGACATTTATGGAGATATACTTCATTAAACTGATTAGAAAACCTTTTAAAGGTACAAAGAAGGTTACTTACTTGTTGTATAACAAGATCAATAGAAATCTGAAGCTTCAGGTTTCAATCTCATTCTAACAACAATTAGCATTACGTATGCCTAAAACTTAACTTTCATCCGTGAATTCCAGGACCAGGCACCCATACCCTCTATCTTCAATGATGTAGCAGCTGCACTTTTGAGAATAAATCCATGCTTCCCTTTTCCTCATTTTCTTGCATTTCAAGCCTCATAATGCTTGCTAGCTTTTTTCGCATATGGGTTCATCTCTGGTACCAAACCCATATGGCCCTCAATCGCATTGGTCATATTTTCATCATCAAAATGTGGTCCATCTAGTCATAATATCGCTTCTGGAATGCCAAGCTTTCCACTAAGATACAATTGTGTGGGAATATCACATTTATGAAGCCCTGACACTGCTTCCGTCTGTGTCAAAGTCAACGCTAACAAGGGTTCTAGCAAAAACTTATTACTATCACTATTTCTTTCCTCTTCCTTTATTCTTTCCAGTAGTGTTTTACTTGTGTCTATACCTGAACAAGGCATTTAACCACCAAACATGGCATCAGAGTATGAAATCTTGCAAAAGCAAGAACATAAACCACAAAAACACTCTAAAGATACCTGCAAGGTATCCACCATGAACATAGCCATTGAATCTCTCACTTGTATGTTCACCAGTAAAGAAAACTCTTCCTACTGGGGCCTGACAAAACATACCAAAACACAATATAACCATGTTAGACTAATGAAATTCTTCAGTATGACAAGCATCTGATGTGACCATAATGAAAATCTTTTACAGAAAGGCCCAAGTGAAGAAAGATGTTATCCAGTGTTGTAGAAATATAATGAACCATGTGGATGAAAAATTAAGTTGAGATAAGTTAGATCTTTTACCTTAATACTATTAACAACTTGGTTATTGGAGATGATGGGATAGTTACTGTAGCTACCACGTTGGAATCTGTTGTTCCACCAGCGGGGCACGAGTATATCAATGGCATTAGGTATGTTGGGTCCAAACATGTCTCTCAGTACCCCCATGGCCTCCTTCAATGTGTCTTCATCTGATTGAGCTTCCACACGTTTTGACTCCCCATTGGTCAAAGTTACAACAAGGATATTGGAACCAGGGTATGCATTCTCCATGTGCTGATGACATAGTAACAGATCAGTAGCCAGATTGGAGAAATATGACAGATAATTAAAAAGAAATGGACGTTCCTATTTTAAAAGATATCATGATTATATATCTAATATTATTTATTTGTCATAATGCATGTAGCGAATCCACATTGATAAAATAAAAAATTGAAAATAATAGACAGGAGGATCCTACATTGCCTCTACAAGAAGCCACATTTGATAATTAAGATATAATTAATTATCCCCTAATCAAGCAGAAAAAATTGTTTAAGTTTTGGGTTTGAAAATTGAATATAATTTATGCTATAGTGCGGCTAGTATTGCCAGCTCTAAGATAGTGACAGAAACATTAGATAGATTATGAAAAAGAGTAACCATTTAAACTAATAATGCAATGCAATAGATTCTAATTGTGGTTATCCCAACAAGTAACGCAATTTTAATATTTTTCTAATACTTTTTATCACAGTTAAGACCTAATTGAGAGAAAAGCAGTGTTACACAAAAAGTCAACATCGTAATGAGCATAAACTATATGAGTAACAACTCATTGGGTAATCTGGCCGCATCCAATAAAAAAAAAAAAATTCATGCATTAAACGTATCATACCATTCGTACATTTATTCAATCAATTTTCATTATATCAATGTAAATGTATCCTCATGTATATGTTTAATTTGCTAATTTACAAAATATCTCAATTATGTCACACCAATCTAATTAAAAATGCAGCCAATATGATTACACTATAGTACAAGATATAAGACAAGAATATGAAATATGTGACATCACATTTTGACATAAATCTAAAAAGAAAACATGGTGAACATTAACATCAAAACACCTCACAGGAAATTGACATATGTTAGAAATTATTAGAATTCTATTTGAGGGTCCTATAATAATTGATGTGTGAAAAATGACATCCGTGGGCAATTATTAAACGTTTTACTTGGAGATCTTTTAATAATTTAGGAGTGAAAACAAAGATCCCAATGATGTCAAAGCTCCAAAACAAGAAAGAAGAAATTATATATATGTTATGATTCAATTTATATTTGCAAGGAAGAAAAAAGGCAACCCCATAATTAAAACATGAAACCGACCTGCCAAAACGTGTAGTAGCCTCTCCTCTCGTGGGCATAGATGAAGAACTCTTTTTCAGGGCAACATGGCCAGAACTTATAAGGAAACTTTAGGAAGATCTTTGTGTACACCATCACATCACACTTCTCTATAGCCTCCATTTTCCACCTCTGTTTCATAATTTTTTTTTCATATGTTAATATTTCTACTCAGCAAAGTATTATAAGTATTATAATCACATACCAATCCACGTGATCATATTTAATGAAATTTTTGCAACACCATAACCAACGATTAGCAACAAAAACCAATGAAAGTGTACAGCTTAAGCCATAGATTTTGCATCTCTTAACATACAAACAAATGTACCCAGGTGACAATATTAAATTCAATCGTTTGTCACTTCTAATAAACAAACAAAAACCAACAATAGCCTAGTTCCATTATTTTCCAAGAAAATATGATATAGAACCAGCTGTCACAATATAGAAAATGCAAAAATTCTGCCCACTTTACACGGTACCAACCCCAAAAAATTATCAGCCAAAAAAGAGCATCCAATCCGTGACCCGGTGGATTGCAAATCCTGTGGATCGTGCAATTACTCAACCCATTGTTTTAGCTTATATAAAGACAAAGACAAACTCGAAAATTTATGCTTTGCGTCATCCAGCAGTAGACTCCCTTTTTAAAAAAGTCAAACTTCTTTAATTTGATGTATTAAATATTTGTGGGTCACACTGTACCAATCAAGACATCAACTGGGCAACCCTCTAGCCTTAGACCTTAGTATTGTCTCTTTTTTTTTTTAAATTAAAAAAAGGTAAATAATGTAGGTACCTAGAAAGGTCAAGATCCTCCATTTAATGCAAATAAATAAGCCTGATTCTGACTAACATTTAATATTATAGATGATCACAATTTCAAGGGAATCACAGCTAATTAACAATAATAATATAAGAATCTTGAGAAATTGTAAGCCATATAAAATATTATAAGATAGAGGAGACGTACGGGCAAGGAAGGCTTAAAGGAAATGAGATCACTCTGTAAAACTCCAATACTAACAGACAAAATCACGTAATTAGCTTCGTAAACGCAACCATCCTCTGTTTTTACTGTTACGCCGCTTCTCGAGTACTGTAATTCCCGAACAACCTGCCACAAATTCATGCACAAAATCTTCTTCGTTTAGATAATGTGTGAAAGAGAAGATAAATAAATAAGATAAAAAATTTAAAACTTATTAATTAAAATTAGAATAAATGGTAAAATTTAACTCTCTAAACTACTTCTTTAATTTATATATAAAAGATAAAGAATCGATCCCTTATTTTTATAAATAAATTATTTATAATAAAAAACTTGAATGGTTTAAAAAGTCTTTTAAACATGCTCGTCCAATATTAGTAGTAACATCATCTCCATCTCAATCCTTAGTCCTCATAAAATGTTTAAAAGAACCCCTACAGTTTGAACAGTCAAAGCAAGGAAATGTGTGCAATGTATAGTTCAGAGGTAAAACTGTGAAAGATTGAAAATTGATAGGAGAGAATCTGTGCGGAGTTAGAGGAACATAGAGCCCATGACCCATTTATGATAGGCTACTAAAAATGTGTGAGAACTGAGAATTATCAATTAAAAGGAAACATCAATTGATTTCTTCTCTGATTTTTTTTAACAAAATGGAGTAGTGAACTTTATTGCAACAACTACCTATTAAATGGAGAAAATGACAAGACTGTGGATTTGCATGTTCTTATCTGAGTTGATATGGCATCTCACATTCTCACTCACCTCATAAGTATTGTTCTTTGGTCACCATGAACAGTATTCAAGCTAGTGCAAACTAGAAACTCGGGACCCTACAATTTCGTTCAACAGTAAAAATGGCTTTTGGTTCAAGGATGATGAATGATTGAAATCAAAAAATGTAGATAGCCAAATTGTGAAACCCCACCTGGGGTCCTCTTCTGAAAACACCTTTCATTGCTTAGCATCATTAAAATTAGGCAAAAGTATAAAATGTATAAGAGGTTTGACTATTTAGTTTCTTATCATTTATAATCATTAAACCGAAGAAAAGATTTAGACAGCGGAGCAAATTAAAGCTCTAAAAACTAGAAAAATAAACGTTAACTAATCCTAATATGAAACCAAGATAGAAAGAGTCTGCCTCTATAGAAACAAAAACAATAACGAAAATAAAAACCTAGAAAACAGTAGTTGACCCCATCAAATATATTACAATTATAATAAATAAAGGTTAAAAGTGCTTTGAGAAAAACGTCATTATCTACAAACTCCCAAAAGTGGGTCAATCAATCTCAACAACGAAAAAACAGTGTAAGCTTACAAAACAGAGTTTAAGATAATTTTTTTTTCAAACTTTCTGTTTTTTTTCTTTTTTTCTTTTTTTTTCTCTCTCAAATCTCAAATGACTCTGTACCTTTGTATTCATCCTATGATTGGGTGATAATTTAACATAACAGACAAATGATTTGGGAGAAAAACAAATGACCAAACAACAAGAAGAGCTAAAAAACATAACCAAAGATTCACCTTATTGAGCTTGAGACGACCGTCCAAGATTTTACCATCTGAAGTAAATAGAAATTCTTCTGCCATTTTGTATAGCAAATAACCATACCCTCTTTCATCCGCTACCAAAAACTCCCTCTCCCCAAAATCTACATAAGTTGATATTGGCTCCACTTCTGTACCCAAAAAACCAATTAAATCACCAAAATAATATATATAGATATTTTCTCTTTTCCCAGAGACCAAACACAACAAAAATGAGCTTTAAAACTAACCAGCCATCTCAAAATCGTGTAGAATGAAGTCAATGGCAAGCTCTATCGGCGTCTTGGGAGAACTACAGAACCCATCAAGACAATACAATTAAAAAATGAATTTAATTAATATATAAAATAAAAAAATAAAAAATGAACTTAAAGAAACTCACGATGGCGGCTCTGCGGTGGCTTTGATGACGTCATTCACATTGTTCTCTAAACTCTTCAGCTTCTGAATCGCTGAGTCCACCGCTTTCTTGTAAGAGTCCGCCGCAACTCCACTCGGAATTATTTTCCCACTAGAAGAAGCAAAATAATAAAATTAACTATTTAATTATTTTAAAAACGGATAAAATCATTTTGAAAAGATACATGATGTAACAACGACAAAAAGATAAAGATGTCCCTGATTTTGATACAGATATGACTCGTTAACAACGCAACGCGACAGAAACAACAACGGCGTCGTTTTAAAGAACATCATATCATTGACGCTCTTGAACTTGAATTCAATTAAAATATATACCTTCGATCGTAGATATTATATCGGGCATTGCTATAATCTGAGAGGCAAGTTCGGAGCCCCGATTGCGCGGCGAGTTCCCAGACCGGGTTAGACTCTTTTCCGCCGACCCCGGCGATCCAACCCGCCCCGAGCTCCACCGACACTCCTCCAAAATTCTCGTTCCGGACACGCCCGCCAATCCTGTCGGACGCTTCTAGAATTACTATATCCTCTATTCCGTTTTCCGCTAACGTTTTGGCCGCCGAAATGCCTGCCCAAACACAAGCGCCGTTAAAAAAAAAAAACTCGACACGGCCCCCAAATAAACACAACACACACGAATGAAAGGAATGAGAATGTACCGGAGATGCCGGCGCCGATGATGATGACGGAGGAGCGAGTTGAGGAATCCATTGGCGAGCGTGAGGCTCAGTTGTTAAGTCGTGTGAGTTTTGTGAACTGTATTGACGAGAGAGCCAGAAGTAGCGGGAGTCGGTTTATATAGGCGTTTGTTTATTTTAACGGCTATTCATACGTCCTTCAATAATACCATAATTATATTTCCACCCCACGATTTTCAGTTTAAGTGCCGAAACTGAAGCACCTGTTGTGGGTGTATCTACAACACTTTTAGAAAATCTGTGGTTTTATAAAATTCTAGGGGTTTTATGTAATTATTGTTTTTTAATTCTGTTATGATTGACGCGTGAGTCTGAAGAAAAGAAGAAGGGTAGAATGGTCATTTGACGAGGGTAATTTAGGAGTTTCAGTCGGATACGGCAAGCTACAGGGTTACCGAATTTGATCTGTGGTGGTCCTGATGTGTGTTTCAAGTGGAAATTTTTATTAAAATAGAATTTTTATTAAAATAGAATTTTGATTAATTTAATTTACTTAAATTTTGAGTCAAATTGCCTCATGTTTACTCTTTTATCTTTATTCCAAAACCGCTCCTTGCACCAAAGGATATCTATAATCCATCTTTTTCTTTTTTTTGTAAAATATTGTCAACAAATATACAATCCCACTTCTTTAAACAACATTAAAAATGGTGTACAACGATAATGTATATTTCATTTTCAGATGAGATTAGCACAACTAGGTACCCTGGGTTTGGTTCCGGTTCCTACCCAGAACCAATCATCAATGGGTAGGTTCTGGTTCTAAATTTTTGGAACCATTACTGTGCGGTTCCGGTTCCTATAGTTAGGAACCGAAACCGGAACCAGGAACCAAGAACCGAGACTAATATAAAATAAAATTAAAGATTATGGGGGTTAATAAAAACTTTTGTAGAAAAAGTAATGTGAATACATTTATATTTATATTTATATTTCATAACATTTAAAGTAAGTTGATTTGACTTTTGAGAATCTACCTTTACAAAGTAATGGAGTTTGTAATTTTGAATTTATAATTTGTAATTTTATTTTTATTAACAAGTGTCAGGTGGGAGGGTATTTGTAAGTTTTTAAGGGTTTTTTTGCCATTTTAAAAACTTTTGGGGGGTCCTGGTAATTTACAAGGTACCCAGAACCAGAACTGTTGTACAGGTTTGATTCTGGGTACCTAGAAACCGGAACCGCGGTTATTCTGGTTCTAAATTTCAAGAAACTGTCAGTTCCGGTTCTGGTTCCTTAAAAAGTGCAAGGTACCCGGAACCGAACACCCCTAAGATAACAACCGTTGTCACAAACCCTTAATTAAATCATGATGTTTAGATGAGAAATCAAATTGGACCGTATGTCTATCCATCTTATTCCAATTCGTCCTACCCATCTGAACTAATCAGGGATAGTCGGATAGATACTTATGGAAGTATTTGTTGGTGTCTTTTCGTCTTTACTCAATTGAATTGGATTAGAGAGTGGAAAGGGAGAAGAGGTGAGAGAATGGGTATGCAAGTGCCAGGAAACTACTAGGTCGGCAGTAAAAGCAAGAGATGCTTTTCACATTGCTCAAATTCATCAATAGGGTGTGATTGAGCATAATTTAGTAATTAATTAGAATTAGTAATAACGAAACTTTAGAAGATTAATGGAACCATCATCATTATTATAGTATATGTTACTACATATAACTAAGATCCATTGCTAAACTTATTGTTAGCCCATTAGGGGATAAGTGATAAAATGACCCTACTGATCAATTTCGAATATAATATAACATAATTTATTACGGTACTCAATTGTCATATTCATGAGATTTGACTCTGATCGATGAAAAAGTTCTAATGTATCTCGAAGACACCAATTCAATGGTGTCCAGGCCAGTAACACAGGCAACATAACCATACCTCGATTAATCATTGGAGAGACTAGCACAACAACTTATCCTTACTAATCATGAATATTTAGATAAAAAAATCAAACTTGAGACTGTATATATATCACATTATCTCTAATCACTCTAATCATTTGAACTATCTATGGATGACACCAACTCAATATGTAAGTACTATTACATATTGATTATAGGTTGAAGATTCTTGTTTTAGTGGCAATCTTTTTTTTTTTTTTTTTTTTAAAGTCAAAAATTTTAATCACTTTAGTTTTATTTTATTAAATTTAGTTAAATTAAACAGTTAAAAGTTGTTCCTATATTTCTTATATTTTACGCTAAGATAAGTTTGACTAAAATAAAAAACATAACACAACTAATTTACCGGGCAAGATTAATGAGTGAGTCGGTTTGAAATATGGCCTTACTCCCACCAAGTGCGGGCAAAACTTAAACCGGTTTTGGTACATAATTGGACCGACCTGGAACTGTACCCACTACAAAGCAAAAGGGCAAATTAGTCCTTTTAAAGGGGTAATTTAGGAACTTCAAGCATGAAAAATAGAAGGTCAAAGTTGCAAATATACAATTGGCAATTTGGCAATATAATTTTGGATAAAGACTTATGAGCGTTGTGTGTCTCCTCGGGATATGGCGGAAATTAATGTCCACACGTGACGAATTTATTACACACGTGTGAATGATATTTATTTCATATTTATTTTTTTTATTTCTTTTTCGGGTTATACGACGGCTGGCTAGTTACATGCGAGTTGTCAGTTGAGCAGTGACAGCGAAATCCTGGTCAAAGATTGTCAACTTTGATTGAGTGGTATAGTCAACGGTCAAAATTACAATGAAATTGGAAGGAATTGTACTAGGCCTGTTATTTCCACATTGGCAACAGCCTGTAATATTTGAAATATCCCATGATGCTAGGATTGTTCGATATCATAATGGGTCGGGTTTAGAACGATCCGAGTTCACAACTCTTGCAAGTTGATATTCGATAAGTAAGATTTGAATTTTGGTTTAGATCCAACTTGGGTCGGGACTAGGACAGTCCGAGTTTACAAGTTACACATAATAGTAAACTATCCTCCCAAGTGATATATAATATAAAAAATGATAGAGCTACAAAAAATTACATATTAAATCCATGTACCGAATGATATAGTAAAATCTTGATCGTTGATTAATATTAACTTATAATAAATCAACGGTCAGGATTGCATCACGTTATTCAGTGCATAAATTTGGTACGTATCCTTCGGTAACTGTAACATTACTCATATAATAAGGGAAATACAAACGTTACACAATATAATACGTCAGTTTATATTCTATTTAAAATGTGTAACATTACAACTTGTGAGTTCGATACTATTTATTTCCGTTTATATGATAAAAACCCTTTAGAATATTACTCTAGTTCACATTTTGGGATTAGTGGATGCTTATCATAAGTTTGGCTTAAGTTGATATTCATGTGTCTTTATCATCATATTGATTTTGCTCACCATGGATAAATAGCATGATTTGAAATATTATCCCTAGAAAAGTGGAAATATATGTACACATCAATTTGGGTTAATAACGTTGACACCCCTTAAGGTTTATGTATATAACAAATCACGTAAAAAAGATGGTTAGGGTATGTTATGCCTAAAATATATGCTGAAATTACCTTCACAAATCAAGACCCAACAGACTTCTTCACCAATCAGCTCTCAACATGCATCTCCACCAACCAGGATTCAACACGCGCGTGAAGACAAACAATGTTAGTTGTCTGATCTTTAACCAACTCAGAAGGATATTTTGTGCAGCCATCTGCTGAAATCTCATTTAATTTAAGGATATGGATGAAAGCTCTCAACGAATTAGAGGAACGGAAGATTTTTACCAAATCAAGGCAACTTATAAAAGCACTAATTACCTTGAGCTAAAAAGACTATAAATAGTAGGGGTGTTCGGTTCCGGGTACCCTACACTTTTTGAAGGAACCGGAACCAACGGTTCCTTGAAATTTGGAACCAGAACCGGAACTGACGGTTCCGATTCCTAGGTACCCAGAACCAGAACTTGTAACAAACGGTTCTGGTTCCGGTTCTGGGTACCCTGTAAAATTCATGACCCCCCAAAAGTTTTTAAAATGGCAAAAAAACCTTTAAAAACTTACAAATACCCCCCACATGGCACTTGTTAACAACAATAAAATTACAAATTATAAATTCAAAATTACAAACTCCATTACTTTGTAAAGGTAGATTCTCAAAAGTCAAACCAACTTACTTTAAATGTTATGAAATATAAATATAAATGTATTCACATTACTTTTTCTACAAAAGTTTATATTAACTCCCCTAATCTTTAATTTTATTTTATATTAGTCTCGGTTCCTGGTTCCTGGTTGCGGTTCTGGTTCCTAACTATAGGAACCGGAACTGGAACCGCACAGTAACGGTTCCAAAAATTTGGAACCGGAACCTACCCATTGACGACTGGTTCTGGGTAGGAACCGGAACCAAACTCAGGGTACCCGCCGGTTCCGGTTCCAACCGGTTCTTTTGAACACCCCTAATAAATAGCAGCTTCATTCCTCACAGCGAGATCGATTATCGAATTCACACAAGCAAAGACACACTACTAGAAAGAGACTAGCTTATCATTCTCTTATAATACTTCAAACACTTGTAATCACAAGAGATCACACTCATTGTAATCTTCATTAGCGATCACAAAAGAAACCATAATACAAAAACAGTGGACGTAAGACTTGATCACAACATCCGAACCACTCTAGAACTCTCTCTTGTCAACTAATTATTTACGTACTAACTAACAAGCATCATCACTGCACCATAAACACATCTCACAATCACCTCATGTGTAACTTCTTAGCACTTTGAATGTACGAAATTGTTGGTGTCAAAATCACGCATCAACAGAGTAACATATACTCCCCAGACGGAAGCATTTGTTACAATTAAGTAAATAGAATATGGGTAAAAGTGTAATTTCAAAAGGAAAAAAAAAATTAAAAGAAAAAATTGAGAATGTTAAACAGATGACGAATACATATGGATTGGCGAGTGGGAAATCAAATGGTAGCGGTGGTGGTGTGATGGTGTCTTTGCTTGCCGAAGGAGGATGGTGGTGAAAGTGAAGTGACTATGTCGATTGTCGGTTAATACATAAGGACAAAATGGACTTTACATAGTAAAACGACACTATTAAGTTAAAACTACCCTAACAACTATTAACTTCTAGGGTCTATATGTTATTCTTGCCATCTTTTATATACGTTATGTTATAAACCGAAACCCCAGGGAGAGTCAGTGTTATTAACCTTATCAATTCTCATTTCATTTGTCATCAGTGCAATAGTGCTTATAATTCAACAATAACAAATGCATACCTTCATAAATCTTGATATATACCCACTAGCCACCTTTATATATATCATAGGATAAATAATATATAATTAAATTAGACCATAACTTATAATCAAAATTTGATTATAAAAGGAATAAACCATTAATATAATAATGTTTAAAAATTTTAATTAGTTGGTAATTAAAGAAATTTGGTTCAATTTTTTGTTTCACAAAAGCTAAAAAGATTTGGATGGCCGCCGGAAACGTGATTTATTATTAGCAAAACGTGCCTAACACGTGGCAGTCATTTAGATTTTGGACAAAGATAAGGTTTAGTCTTTAAGATCCGCCATGAATCCTGGGACTAGATGACTCACCCACCACTCTTGAAGTGACACGTAAGGCGGTTTTGTCAATCAGATTTTGTCAACACAAAAACTTTTTGAGAAATTATCATCTTTATTTAGGATACGATATATGAAAAGGGCGTGCTTTTAGAAAATCATTTTTTCATAGTCGACAATAAAAAAAAAAAAAATCAAATCATTCCGACGTTTCTCTAATTAGTTCACGACACGACAAAACTAATAAACCTCAAGCTAATGACTGACGGACGTATAGATTTACTCCCTCTCAAGTGTGATATTGGGATGCCATACGAATCAACCCGTTGTGTTGATAATCTAGGCTCGTGACAAAGTTTTATCTAAGTATATGCATTATTTTCAAATATTATAAAGAATTAAATTAAAGGGTAAAATTCTTTTCCTATTAATAAAATTATCTTGTCATATAAAAATTTATCCTGTTAAATAAAAATAATAAATAAATAATGGATGCAGGGCTGATATTCACTTGGAGATAAAGTGATAAAGGAAGGAGAGAGGGATATTATACCTAGAATAGAATTTGAATTTGGTAACCGATCAAATTTTTGTTTTTGTTTTGGTTTGTGTGTTCTTTATCCATTTTCAACGACAAAAAATAGACAGAAAAAAGCTGCTGATTAATTTCTGAACTGATCATCTCATTTTGTTTTCTTTTGTTTTGTGGGTTTGTGAATTGTGATTCAGGCTAAGTCTATTTTATTATTATGTATTTGTTTCAAATCGCTAATTTGATAGGGTTAATATTGTATACGTGATTAGAATCACTTCTCAATTAACCTAGTTTTTAAGAGTGAGTTATACCCAAAGCTTATTTATTCAAAGCCCATTTATCAATCATAAGTTGATATTTGGAAAATTTTATGTTTCAACGTGAATTGTGATTGTTAAGTTTAAGTGTTATCAATGTACTTGTCATCACATTGCTTCATACCTTAAATCAATTCAAGGTTACGAGAGAATGAGAGAATACAAAGTATTTGATATAAGTGTTATTAAACACCATGAGTAGAGTGTCTTAGAAACTGTGATTGTTTCAATTCTAAGTATTGGGGTGAGCGTGAATAGAAACTAAGATTGTTTCTACTCCGTTTATTATGTACCGGAGTTATGGTGTTGTGTACTTTTGTATATCATGTTCATCAAACTATAGTATATTTCTCTCATCTGTGGATGAAGCGGGTTATGATAAACTATGCAAATATCATGTTTCTTTGTGTGGTGTGATTTCATTCCTATATTATTAATCTCGAATGAATGCTTTCTGCTACGCGATCTCCACGTAGAGTTAATGTGATCATGTTTAACCTAACTATATAAAATGCAAACATAACTTTAACAAAAACAGACAATATATACGGAAATGAAAAGATATTTTCACAAACAAACACCAATTATACCCCAACAATGAACAAACAAGAGGGAACAACATGGTTTTATATTTATGCTACTTAACATGACATTGGACCAACCTTACTATAAATGATGTTTCTCTTGTCCATACTAATTTACCATACCCTAAATTTGAAATGTTTTTAAATTTAATTTTACGGGCTCTTATGATTTTTTTTTAAAATGGGTTTAATTTGGAAGGTATGTTTATTCAATTAAACCATCTTATCATATCACGTCAAACTTAATATGATATCAGAATAGTCAAAAGTATGATATTTGAAGTCTCGCGTATCATTTATTATTTTATTCTTAATTAATAAGTCACCTCAATCTCACATATTATTAGACTTAGATATCAAAGTGAAGTGATAATTCAAGATATCTTTAATATATATCAAACTTTTTGAGTAGCTAAGTATGAATGGTGCTATATTCCTGCAAACCCATGTCTCGAATATGTTGTACTTGCTCCAATTGGTGGATATATATATCAAGATATTTTTTAATATGTATCAAACTTTTTGAATAGCTAAGTATGAATGGTGTTATATTCCTACAAAACCACGTCCAGAATATGTTGTACTTGCTCAAATTGGTGGATATATATATATCAAGATATCTTTAATATATATCAAACTTTTTGAATAGCTAAGTATGAATGGTGCTATATTCTTGCAAACCCATGTCCAATATATGTTGTACTTGCTCAAATTGGGTGGATAATATATATAGATATATATAATATCAAGATATTTAATATATATCAAAATTTTTGAATAGCTAAGTATGAATGGTGCTATTCTTGCAAACCCATGTCCAAAATATGTTGTACTTGCTCAAATTGGTGGATATATATAAATATCAAGATATCTTTAATATATATCAAACTTTTTGAATAGCTAAGTATGAATGGTGCTATATTCTACCAAAACCCATGTCCAGAATATGTGTACTTGCTCAAATTGGTGGATATATATTATATATATAATATATTATACGAGTTAACTTGTGCGACCTCAATTAATCCCTAAGGCTTGAAGTTGACGATCAAGTAAAACTCTTAGTGGTCAATCCTATTAACGCCTATGAAGACCGAACTCAGGAGCTCATTGAACTCCTTTACCCTTTTATCCAAGCCACCCTGTGGTGGTTCAAATTGGTGGAATAGCCCAACAATCACCCATGGAAATGCTTACACAACTTGAAGTTTGCATACGCAAAGAACTAGTAAAATAGAATAAATGGTGTGAGGTGGAGGTGAAGTTGCTTTCCAACTACACCCAAAAAAATAAAGATTCTAGAGGTCATTCATCACCTTATATTATATGTCTTCAATGGGAAACTAAGAAGTTATAGGTCTTGTTGTTCTAAATGGTACATTATTCTCTTCCACTTCTAGCAGCTAAAAGCATAGTGCCTTTTACTAGCAGCATTTTACATATACTATCAAATGCTAAATACCGCCACGATGGGTTCAAAAGAGGGCATTATTGAGGGAACTTGGAATGGAAAAAGAGCATAATTAAAGAGGGATATGAATAACTTTCCAAGTTGCCAGGAAGTGGAATGTTTGAAAGAGATATGTACTAATTTTTATTGGAAACTAGCTTATACTTCAAAGGTTTAAAGCAATAGTGGCGATAGTGGATGTGGAAAAGAGACAATTCTATGCGTGATGTGGGGGGCGGTGGCGGTGGGGGTGGGGGATAAATCCGTTGGTTCTATGAATACCCTCGAATAATTATACAATAAATCTGTCGATCGAAACTAATACAAACCCTTATTTAAAAGTAAATACAGAATATATTCAAACGATGAGACACGGTTAAACTAAAAGATAAAATCCCAGTTGGTATTATTCTCTTTTTTTATGATTAATGAGATAGTTGGATCTATTAAATCAATCTAATAAATTCACGTTGTAATTAATGCTTCTAAGAATAGGGGTTTCCATTCCATTCTTGTATTATAGTTTTATTTTGGTACGCAAAAAGACTTAGTGAAGTAGTCTAATACAATTTGTTTTCATTAAGTAGAAATTGTTGGTATAATGATTAAAAGCCGCAAATACTTACCAAACAAGTCCTTGGAATTGACCCTCCACTACTTGTACCTAGTCTTCTTGTTCTTCTAGTCCCAAAGTCTTGGATTTCATTTCATCAAGGACTTGAGTTTCAAGAACATGGGTGGTCAATTAAGCTATTATTATGGCTTTTATTTAATCACTTTTTTTTTTTTGTAAACTAACTAATCAATTCATGATCAGCTTCAAAGACTTACCAAACAAGTTATTAGAGTTGACTTTAGTCTTCCTGTCTAGCTTGGAAGCACTTAATTTTCAAGGACATTGCTCAAATTTTCAGCTTTGTAATGATGGTTTCTCCAAATGGGTTTTGGGTTTTCTTCAAGTTATGGTCACAGTTAATGGCTACAGTCAGAACCTCTTTTTGATTTTAAGAAGGGAGGTCCTAGTGCAACCCCTTTTCACACATGGTCTCTGGGATTTTCAATTTTGGTATTGAGAGTTAAATATTAATTAATTGATAAAATATCTTAAAATAATTATTATTAATATGATTTCCAAATTAGACGGGTCCATTTCCCACGGCACACAAGTTCAAGTAATTTTCCCACGATACTACACTTATAATCCAATCTCAAACTTTCTATCATAACCTGATATGGTAATTCGCAATTAGTCAGCTCACAAATGAGTTTCACCTATTCGTTATGGGTCTCGTCTGCCCAATTACGAACTATCACGTCGAGATTGTACAAGAAAGTTTGTAAGATTGGGTTGTAAACCAATCTTTATTATTAATTTTTTGGACTAAAAAACTTGAGACAAAACCCAATTTCTTTCTTAAATTTGGTCTTACAAAAAGCAACATAAAAAATCATAATTTAACCAAATATCAGGATACAAAGCAACCAAAAATATACCAAGAAAGATTGGCTCATAACTCAATCTTACAAACTTTTTCTCACAACTCCAACGTGATAGCTTGCAATTAGACAGACTAGACCCATAACAAGTAAGCAGGACCCACAACGAATAGATAAGACATATTTACAAGTTGACCAATTGTGAACTGCTACGTCGGGATTGTAAAAGATAGTTTGTGAGATTGAATTGTAAGTGTGGTATTACCTAAAAAAATATATACACCAAATAACTTCATTTGCTGAACTCGTTACATAAAGCTTTAGTACAAAATATTCCCATTTACGAATAAAATCATTTTATACAATCACTCTATACGCGGTACGCAACCTACATATGCCAATCCTTTTCCTCTCTTTTTCAAATTATTTGGGACCAAGATTTAACACAATTGCCAGTGAAAAAGTCTGATGCTTGTGCACAGAGGCAAATTCCAGAATTGGATTCTACCATAAGAGAATACTGGTGTTCTTCCATTATTCCATATCCGGGCGTAGTATAACAGGTGCTGTCTTTTTGAGCTCTTGGTGATGTTTCATGAGCTTAGTTCAAATATAAATCGGGCCTCTCAAAGCTGTCAGCTTCTGATAAGTAAAAATAATATATGCTTCATATCAGGAATGATATCATAAAACCAGAAATGCATGCAATGTCTGTCAATATACTATAGTTACCTTCAATTAAAAGAGGTTAAAAGGGAGCACATAAATCTCTGAGAGTGGACATAAGCCAGCAAAATACCTTCCTTGGTTCTGACCATTCTGGATGTTTCATTTGTCCAATTATGAAGTTTGCTCTTCTTCTATAACGATCAAATTAGCATCCGATCAACTTTGTACCTAAGCAAAGGCAATAACATACAAGGTTAATCCAAATATGCAATATGAAAATGAATTTACTGAGACTAAATTTCACTACATCTTGAAATTTAGATAAGTTCTTTTATCCCCAGCAGTCTACACCCTTTGAGGAGCATGGCCAACACTTTACCACCCAACCGCATTTAGTGCCCACTAAATTATAAACTCTTCGTTTCTCTAACCAGAAATCTCAATGTGCACACCCCATACCATCAAACAAATAGGTAATTGCTGCTAATACTAGGGTTAACAATGATAAATAATCCTCAATAACCAGTAAATAATACGATTATTAGACTGTAGAAAGTATGGCAAGATACCTGAATTGTCCTTCATACTAATCATCTTATTTTCCAACTCTTGAGCAGCCTCAGTCATGCCTTGGGCAGTGTACGCTTGGATCATACTAGCAATGGTGATGGTGTCAGGTGTGCAATGCCCCTCTTTCATTGCCAAAAACAACTCGCCCATCTTTTCTACGTCACCAGCCTGGCCATAGGCACTGATGATGCAATTGAAGAAAGGAGTATCCAAAATCACGTCAGAATTCTCTACCTGCCTCAAAATTGAATCAACTTTCNTCTTCTTGTCCCAAAGTCTTGGATTTCATTTCATCAAGGACTTGAGTTTCAAGAACATGGGTGGTCAATTAAGCTATTATTATGGCTTTTATTTAATCACTTTTTTTTTTTTTGTAAACTAACTAATCAATTCATGATCAGCTTCAAAGACTTACCAAACAAGTTATTAGAGTTGACTTTAGTCTTCCTATCTAGCTTGGAAGCACTTAATTTTCAAGGACATTGCTCAAATTTTCAGCTTTGTAATGATGGTTTCTCCAAATGGGTTTTGGGTTTTCTTCAAGTTATGGTCACAGTTAATGGCTACAGTCAGAAGCTCTTTTTGATTTTAAGATGGAAGGTCCTAGTGCAACCCCTTTTCACACATGGTCTCTGGGATTTTCAATTTTGGAATTGAGAGTTAAATATTAATTAATTGATAAAATATCTTAAAATAATTATTATTAATATGATTTTCGAAATAGACGGGTCCATTACCACAACCAGAAGTTCAGTAAACTTTCCGACAAGATTACATTTATAACCTAATCTCAAACTTTCTCTCATATAATCTAATCTCAAACTTTCTCTTATAATCCTAATGTGATTCGTTATGGGTTTCGTCTATCCAATTGCGAACTATCACGTCAGGATTGTACAAGAAAGTTTATAAAATTGAATTGTGAATTAATCTTTATTGTTACTTTTTTGGACTGAAAAACTTGAGACAAAACCCAGATTCTTTCTTAAATTTGGTCTTGCAAAAAGCAACATAAAAAGTCATAATTTGACCAAATATCAGGATACAAAGCAACCAAAAATATGCCTATAAAGATTGACTCGTAACCCAATCTTATAAACTTTCTCTCACAACTCCGACGTAATAGCTTGCAATTAGACAGACCAGACTCATAGCGAGTAGGCAGGACATACATCGAGTAGATAAAATCCATTTGCGAGTTGATCAATTACAAACTGTTACGTTGGGATTATGAGAGATAGTTTGTGAAATTGAGTTGTAAGTGTAGTATTGCCCAAAATATATACACCAAATAACTTCATTTGCTGAACTCGTTCCATAAAGCTTTAGTACAAAATATTCCAATTTACGAATAAAATCATTTTATACAATCATTCTATACGCGGTACGCAACCTACATATGCCAATCCTTTTCCTCTCTTTTTCAAATTGTTTGGACCATGATTTAACACAATTGCCAGTGAAAAAGTCTCATGCTTGTGCACAGAGGCAAATTCCAGAATTGGATTCTACCATAAGAGAATACTGGTGTTCTTCCATTATTCCATATCCGGGCGTAGTATAACAGGTGCTGTCTCGTTGAGCTCTTGGTGATGTTTCATGAGCTTAGTTCAAATATAAATCGGGCCTCTCAAAGCTGTCAGCTTCTGATAAGTAAAAATAATATATGCTTCATATCAGGAATGATATCATAAAACCAGAAATGCATGCAATGTCTGTCAATATACTATAGTTACCTTCAATTAAAAGAGGTTAAAAGGGAGCACATAAATCTCTGAGAGTGGACATAAGCCAGCAAAATACCTTCCTTGGTTCTGACCATTCTGGATGTTTCATTTGTCCAATTATGAAGTTTGCTCTTCTTCTATAACGATCAAATTAGCATCCGATCAACTTTGTACCTAAGCAAAGGCAATAACATACAAGGTTAATCCAAATATGCAATATGAAAATGAATTTACTGAGACTAAATTTCACTACATCTTGAAATTTAGATAAGTTCTTTTATCCCCAGCAGTCTACACCCTTTGAGGAGCATGGCCAACACTTTACCACCCAACCGCATTTAGTGCCCACTAAATTATAAACTCTTCGTTTCTCTAACCAGAAATCTCAATGTGCACACCCCATACCATCAAACAAATAGGTAATTGCTGCTAATAGTAGGGTTAACAATGATAAATAACCCTCAATAACCAGTAAATAATACAATTATTAGACTGTAGAAAGTATGGCAAGATACCTGAATTGTCCTTCATACTAATCATCTTACTTTCCAACTCTTGAGCAGCCTCAGTCATGCCTTGGGCAGTGTACGCTTGGATCATACTAGCAATGGTGATAGTGTCAGGTGTGCAATGCCTCTCTTTCATTGCCAAAAACAACTCGCCCATCTTTTCTACATCACCAGCCTGGCCATAGGCACTGATGATGCAATTGAAGAAAGGAGTATCCAAAATCACATCAGAATTCTCTACCTGCCTCAAAATTGAATCAACTTTCATTATGAGCCCAGCTTTACCATAAGCACTAACAAGAGAGCAATAAGTAATAGAATTAGGCTTCATGCCTAGATGCTTCATTTTCCTGAAATATTCATCCATCTTCTCAACATCGCCAGCCTTCCCGAATATTTCAATAATGGTATTATAAGTAACAACTGTAGGGTGGAAGAACCTTTTCTGCATGAAATCCATAACAGTCTTCATTTTCTCATACATGCCTGCTTTTCCATATGATTTAATTAGGATATTAAACGTTTTAATGTCAGCCTTTACTCCCATAAGCTGAAATTCATCATACCATTTCTCCATTTTCTCAATCTGCCCACTATTCCCATAAGCAGAGATCACAGAATTGAACGTGAAAACATCCGGGAGACAACTGCCGCTTTCAACCATTTGAGTCAATGAGCTCTCCATTTCTTCAAACATTTTAGCTTTACCGTATCCATCAATAATTGTATTGTAAGTGACTATGCTACATTCAATTCCCAAGTAAGACATCTCGGCAAGAACTTTTTCAATGAGATCAAATTGATGAAATCTAGAGCAACAGTTAAGAAGAATAGAATAAGTATATACATCAGGTTTGCAGTCAGAGACTGACTTCATATCATCAACAGTAGAAAATGCCTCATCAATGAGACCACTTTGGCCATAAGCACTCACAAGAGCAGTATAAACATCAATAGTTGGTTTGAGGCCCTCAGACAGCATGACCTCAAACAACAAACTAGCTTCCTTGGGTTGTTTACACTTGCCAAGCATCATTAACAGCTTTGTATATGTTTGGCATCTTGGCTGATACCAATGCTGCTTGCGAAGAAGTCCAAAAATCTATAATGAAAACCACTTCTCATGTCAAAAATAGCAATATCGCTGAAGTATATTGACATAATATAAACATTACAAACTCCCAAGTCCACAAGTAACCATCCATTTAGCTTTCATATTGCAACTTATGAACCATCCCTTTAACTGAAGTGATTAAAGAGCCAGAACAAAGTTCAGCTTTCCAAACAAAATTCAACTCCAAAAATGCAACTTAAAAAATTCTCAAATATTAACATTCAAACTATTGCATTTGTTTCTATTTTCAAGAGCAATTTATAAGCCCCACAAATAAAACAGGCATCACAAAAAAGAAACATAAAACTCATAAACACATTTCAAAAGACAATTGTTTCAAAACTTTAAAGTAACAATTCCCCAACAACCCTGACAAGCAAAAACTAAATTAGAACAAACCTTGAGAGCAATCCGGTAATGTTACCAATTTAAAAAATGCTTCTGATAAAAATAATAGAAACATTGCCAGTATAAAATAAATTTCAGCAACCAGAAAATAAAATTCTGAAACCTGTAACATTACTGATAAAAAACAGAAACCTAGTAATCTGTACAGTTATCTATAATATTTAAGTTCATTAAAAGAGAATTGTTAAGTTACAGGGAACAAGGTTACCCCAATGAAATAGTATTCCTCTATCTTAAGAAATTTAAACAATGTCAATTAAATTGAATCGTAACTGCAATTGTCCTGAATTCTAAGTGTACAGGGTGCTATCTTTATTCAAAAAGTAAAAACAAACCCAATCTTAATTCTCTCATGTTGTAGTAAACCAATTAATTTTTGAGTAATGTATGCAACAGTTAATGACAAAAGCTTTAGGATGCTTACATTATGAAATATCAAACATGGAAGAAATCTAACAAAACAGTGTGAATGAGCAGCTTCGGTACAGTTAATAAATCAATTTTGAAAGAGAAATGCACCAGAACTTTAAAAGTAACACCACCCAGAAAAGAAAAACTTAGGAGATGTACAAACCTTGAGAGCAAGTTCCCATTTTTTATCTCTTATGGCCTCATCAAGAGCTTCTAAAACAGCTTTAGGCCACAAATTGTTGTACTTCTTGGAGTTGACTTTGTTCTCAATGTTTTTAATGGCAAATTCAGTTCTTAATATCTTAGACAAGTCCTTCTTCGCCTCTTTCTGTATCCCTGTCTGTTGGACGGGGCCAGGGTTCCGTTTTGAAAAATGAATAGTGAAAAGCCGTTCTTTGTGGAAAGTGGGTGAGTAGGTGGTGGGGGTGATGGTGGGTGATGCGGTGATCGAAGGGGAGAGGCGCATGATAGTGGGGATAAGAGAGTTTTCCCTAAAGTGCCGGGTGATAGTGGTGGTGGGGAATGCAAGTACACGGGTTAGCGCAAGTGAAGGATATGAGTTGAGGCCAGATGATTGTTGGGCTTGTAATGGGCATAGTTATTAGTTGAGGACCTCGACGTCATGAATGAGTTTTATTGGGCTTGCTTAATAGAAAGACTTTACGCGGTTGTTCTCGTTCACCTAATTTTTTTGAAGTACAAATAGTTTTATTTTTTCCACTTAGACCCCTATATTTTAATTCCTTAGTAGTGATAGCCAAAAGTTCTTTGAACTTGTCTATCAATACAAGGTTTAGTCCTAACTTCTAACATGAAATTTTTTTTTCATATAATTTACATGAAGTGGATTTTTTTTTTTTTTTTTAATCTTATTTACATAATATTATGTACTTATCACAACAACTTTAGACATTTTATGAAATCGCAAAATTAAATGTTTATTAATTATATTTAATAAATGCTCATGAAAACTGGTATGCACCTATATTTTAAGATGAGACTATCAAAAATATTAATTTTATTAAAACATTTTAATAGATTTTTAAGAGATAAGATTAGGGATTGCGATCTTTTAACTTAAATTCTTTACACAAGTTTTAGCTCTAGATTCAATACAATCTAATGATTTAGGAACTCTTTTGTTTTAAAACCTGGACCGCAGGGCAACCCGTTTTACTGCCCGTGTCACGGGTGAACCAGTTGGACCGATGACGTCAACGACAATTTTATTTTTAAAAATTTACTATTAATCCCTTAAATCTTAATATATTACAAAAATTCCCATAAAAAAGTTGAATTAGTCCCTAAAATTTTTATTTATTTAAAAAATCCCCCAAAAAATTACCAATTAATCCATAAACTTTTGACATATCTCCAAAACACTCCTATAAAATTACAAATTAACCTTTATAATTTTAAAATGTTACAAAAACTCCCCTAAGACCTGAACTGAACCAGAGAAGCTGCTGTTGGGTCCCGGTCGGACAGGCCGATCCAATCCGGTTTTTAAAACAGAGCTCTTGAGGTGGCAAAAAATAAATAACTATCTCCAAACTCTTTCTCATATTCATTGGATTACAAAATATCCAACACTAAAATTTATCATTCAATTTAAAACAAAATTTTAAGTTAAAAGATCCTGATACGGTAAAAACTGTTGGATGCTGTTCATACTTTGTATGGGTTTAACACCGACGATGCAATAAGTCCAATTAATAAATGGATTTGAAGTTGGTTTGTAAATATTTGGGCATGCAACAGTTTAGTCCAAAAGTGATTAGATTTATTATTACCTTAGTGTAATAGTGAAAAACCTAATATGAGAAATAGAGAGGAAGAGTGAACCGTCGATTTCATTATTGTATTCTGCAGATTTCTGTAACTCAATAAAACTATTATATTTGAATGCTGGACGTAATTTCTTCATTGGAAACTAACCAACGTAAATCGATTGTCTTTCGTTACTTTTCTACTTTATTGTTGTATTGTTTTGGCTATGGTTTCAACCAAAAAAAAAAAAAAAAACAACCATCCTCTACAATTATGAAAAGGAAGTGAAACTAACTACAAATAATGGTAAATAAACCCTTTAATTACATATAACTTCGATATTTAAAACTGTTTTTATAAAACAATGTCACAATTTATTATTTTGGAAAATCATTTCAGACATTCCTAAATTTGATCATGTATACACCCATTTTTATCTTCTTATTAGGGATTTAAGAGCAAATATGAAAACCTCTTGTTGTGAGTTGTGACACCTCAAAATAGGGGTTGTAAATGCAAAACACAAAATACATAACCGCACAATAGGAAATATGCAAAAAAAGAACCCTTGAATAACAATACAGAAAACTTTAACCAAACCCCACGCGTAAACCAGTTATATATATATATATATATATATAATATTTAGAATTCTTTCTTCACAAAATACATAACCTCCATTGACACTGTTGGGACGTCTTCTACCTCATTCTGTACGCTTTCAAGAAAGATTAAAGAGAAGAAAGAGAAAAGAAGATTCATTAAGGCAAAAGTTAATTATGGGGAGCATACATGGAGATTTTGACGCGGGGTGAGAATAGCCAAGATTTCACTCTCACTGCCCACAAACGGCTCCTCGCTACTACCACCCGCCGGCTAACAATGACAAAACAGAGGCTCCGCTACCGTCGCCGTCTCCACCACCGGGATGTTATGTTACGCCAGTGGTGGTGGGACGCTGTGCTACTACGACAGTGGCTGCCTGTTCGGGAGTTGATACAAAAGACCTCGCTTCTCTGCTATTGATATCTATGAATTTTCATCAGTTGTTCCTGATTTCTCATACGTAATTCTTACATATTACTTTGTATACCAATTATTCTTTGTATTAATGGCTTCTTTTTGCCTGGAAATTCCTTAAGGCATTGATTTGATAAAGAGATTGCAAATAGAGGGCAAATCATTAGTTAATATTATGCGACATGTACCAACCAAAATAAGGGTAAGATTATGAAATGTAACCAAATTAATCTCTCCATGAATCTATATGCCTTAATGGAATTTCCAGGCAAAAAAACATTGAAAACAAACAATAATTCGTATACAGGTAATATAGAAGAATTACATACAAGAATCACGAAAAACTGATGGAAAATTTGATAGATATAACAGCAGAAGACGAGGTCTTTGTATCGACGCCCAAACGAGCAGCCATTGGAACCACCGGCTTGGTAACATTAAGTCATTAACATCGCTGAGGTGGAGGTGGGGTGGCCGTGGCAATGGCTCTGCTTTGGTCATTTTTAAATAAGAAATATTTCTCATCAAATAATAAAAAATCAAATTATATAAGAAATATTTTTGGAAAAAATTATAAACGATATAATAATGAAATAATTTATTAATTTAAATTTTATTCAATTTCACATTTTTCTTTAAGGAAATATTTTTAGAACACTTAATTTAATTACTTTCTTAATCTAAATCGACCAACATTAACTTTCAAATAAAACTATACTTGAATTTTGTAATTAAAAAAAAAAAAAAATGTGGAATGGGTCTAGGGGTGTCGGGGTGATTGTCTGATTGAAATTGAATATGTTTGTTCTTTTTCAACTCTCTCATTAATTACGGGCTTGTTTTACTACGCCTAGCTGTAGACAGCTCCAACTACATGGAATGCAGTTGGTTTCACTACCAGAATTATAAATGAGTTTTCTGGATTGAGCTGTGATTTGAAGAAATAAGCTCCCTTATTCAAAAGAATATACTAAGGCAAGCCTCAAAATACAGCAGACAACTCATGTCCGCCAACCTTTGCCAACTAGATTATACTGTTTGATGTTTCAATTAAATTTTCATCCACTTATCGAATGGTTCAAAGATTATAAATTTATATTAGAGCTCCCATATGTACATATTGGTGGGCACAATGAGTTCATAATTTGACTTTGTAATCGATTAGCTGAATGTGAATGCCACAAATTGACTAATTCATTTTTGTTCATTTTGTGGCAGTCCTTTGTGTGGAACTTCCTTTGATATTTAGCCGGCCTAAGTCATGATCTTGCCTTATTTTGGCTACATTCCAGCTCACGGTAGGCAATGTGACATGGCTATGAATTTGTCCTCTATTTGCATCTTCTTGCAAAGGCTAAACTCTTTGACCAAGTATTAGTTATGTTCATCATTAATAATGAGAAGCCCAAATTCATGGACTTTCTGACGCTATATTCATAAGCCTCTCAATATTTCCAACCCCCTTCAGTAAACGGCACTGTTGGACAATGTGATAAACACAAAATTTGTAAAACAGGGAGGCCGAAAGGAACCCCATACTAATAAATTATATGCCGCTTAATCAAAATGGTGAAGTGCCCAGGCAAACCGGTACTCCAGTTGAACAAAAACAAACAAACAGTCGACAACAGGTTACTGACAAACGGCCATAATATACAAAATCCAAATGGCCACATGGGAGCACATGACCAGGAAAACGTAAAACAAAGTACCAATTTATACACAAAATGTCCCACTATAGAAAAAGAGGAAACATGAGAGCATCAGATTTAATCAGGGAAGGGGACTTTAATCAAACGGGGAAATCATTTAGTTTCACATAACAAGCTAATGAAAATTGGCAAGAAAGTTAATACAAACAAACAACCACAAAAAACCAGGACGATTGCTAACAAGGTCATGCATATTATAAATTGCATCTCTACCCTCCTAGTAGCAGCAGTTAAGTAACAGTTTGCACCCAATTTACTGACTGTCAATGTGGCTTCCGCCACGAAGAAATACATTGGAGTGAAAATCTCTTTCCTGATGCGACAAGTTATAGATCATGTCAGTAGACTAGGGAGGGAATCAACAATTAAACATCCACATATGAACTAAATTAAATGAACTCAAGATTGAGATTGCACCTCCTGGTGGATTCAAAATCCTGTGTAAATTGGTATATATAAAAGAATTGTGTTTCTTGAATGGATTTATATGATACTACTTGACAAGCAAGCATGACTTTCATTTTATGAGATGTATGTAAAGATCTAAAAGGAAAATAGTACATATGATAAAAATTAAATTATGATATAAATATAATAAAACCCTGACTTCCCACCGGCACCCAATCCTTCTGCAGCTTTCTCCAGAAACTTGAACCCTTTGACTTCCCTTTGGGCTAGTCCTGCAATCTAGGACCTTACACCTACAGGGGAAAATACTAATTGGTCAGCTGCCAACATAAGCAAGATGGGAGGGCAAAATTCTTAGTTTCAGATAACCAAGTTCTTTGAGAAATTGGTTCTCTAGGATTAATATATACAGCAGAAAGCTAGCATTCACAATCTTTACCATGTTTTTTAGTGAAGAAACGACCAACGCAGTTAGCGGAAGCTACTTAGTGAATGGTGTTTAATCCCAAGGCAAGTACCATGGGAGAGGTGAGTCAACAGCAAGATCTTTCTCCCACAACACCTTCATGAATAAAAAATACATATATTCATTTCACAGCC